CAAAGTGTCCAGGAACGAGTTCCCACAAGGCAGAGGAATCGCCTGATTCGAGGGAAAGCAAAGCAAACTCCGGAGGCCAAGGAGAAGCGAACTAGTGGCCACCATAGAAGCCACCAAAGCCTATCGAGGGAGCTGCATCAGTGAATAATTGCAAATCTTCAGGGACTAGGATAGCGTCTTCATAGAAGAAAGAGATGCCATTCCAATGCTGGAGGAGGAAGAGCCAGAAGCGGAGTTCCGAGATACATGCATCATCCAAGGAGAGGCGGTGTTGGAGTCAGGGAACTGAGGAGGCTAGCTGAATGCCAAGGTACCCGAGAGACATAGATGGACCCAATGTCTTCTCAGGAGAGAGGGGGACACTGAGACACTAAAAATGCAGAGGAGAGTGTACAGAGGCCATACGCAGGTGGGGAGGAAGGGAAGACCACCACGAGGAAGTATTCGAGGAGGTGGAGCACGTAGGGTAGTCTGCAAACATTCAGCAAGATCCAACACAAGGCTTCAGCCAAGGTGTCGAAAATCTTGGGGCTGGTCTTGCAGCCAAAGGCGAGATGAACTGCAAAGTAAAACCTGCCTTCCCAGCAAACTCCAAACAGATGCCAAAAAGTGGGGTGCAGAGGGAGGATCTTAAAAGCCAAGACGATGTCAACCTTGGCGAGCCAAGCTCCACGGCCAGCCTGCTTGATGAGCGATAAAGCGTTATCCACAGTAGCATAGTGGAGAGAGAAATCTCCAAAACTTCTTTGGCCAAAAGGGAAGACACAACATCAGGCTCGGACAGAGCAGAGAGGAGGTTGCGACACAAAAGGGAAGAGGCAGAAAGCACAGCGAGTCCTGGAGAAAAGCCAAAGATAAGGCCGACCAGCAAATAAGAGACGAAAGAATGATCAGGATGGAGGGAGAGGTCAGCAGCGAGAGCAGGGACATTGACAGAAGTAGAAAGATGCTGGAGTAGTCATTTGGGCCCAAACTTAGGAGGGTGAAGGGGACATCCAGATCTGGAATGAGTTTGGCCACAATGAGAGCAGACATGAAGCAACTTGCATAAAGAAGAAAAACATCCAGCGGAGTTGAAATTGTTACAGACCTTCCGGCCTCCAAGGAAAAGCAAATGCCACCCGTGGCTGTCGCTGGAACTGGAAGTCGTAAAGATAGGGGCAGGGGTTGCAGGGGGAGCAGAGGGCATGGCAGGGTGGGGAGTGGGAGGGGGCGGAGTAACAAGAGTGCAAGAGGAAGCAGGGTGAGATGGGCAACCACAGAGCTCACAGGAGAGAGCAGTCCGACCAGCAAAAACACGACAGTAGAGCTCAAGATCCAGGTAGCCCCAATAGGTAGAAATGTTCCACTGGGCAGATGCGCAGGCTGAAAACAGACGATGGTAATCGTAGAAACCTGACCCTCCAAATCGAACGGCGAGGTCCAAGATGATGGAAAGATAGTCATCCAGCTCCTGACGCCTAGATGGGAAGGCTGAACAGATGACATCACGGTAGATGGAAAAGGTGAGGAAGAACTCAGGAATGGTGAGGACCTTAGAAAAGGGTAAGAGAAACGTCGCCAGCATCAATGGTACGGGGAGCACCAGAGGCATCAGAGGGGTGAAGTAATGAAGGGAGACTGACGTCTGCACCTTGGAGGATCCACGTACGCAGGGCAGAAGAGACGAGAGGTGGATTGAAGAGGCGGGCATCACCGGGCAGGACAGCAGGAGGAGCAGTGGAGAGTAAAAATGAGGAATTGTGAGAAGGGGCCATGGCTGAGCCGGTAGTGACTGCAACTGGAGACCTGGAACGGGATAAGAAAATGAGGCAGAAGAGCAAGCAGGGAATGTCAGGAAAGACTGAGGAAATGGGTATGAAGAAAAAGGGAGGGGATGGGATGATGAGGGAACGGGGAGGGATGATAAGGGGAGGGGGTTGGGATGATGAGGGAATGGGAAGGGATGATAAAGAGAAGGGATGGGATGATAAAGGGAGGGGATGGAATGATGAAGGGAGTGGTTGGGATGATGAAGGGAGGGGTTGGGATGATAAAGGAGGAAGCTGAGAAGAAGAAGGAAGAGACATAGCCAAAGGTGGGGCAGAAAAAGGCTGGGAAAAAATAGTGGGAGAGAGTCAAGAAAAAACAGAAGAAGCAAGGCATGCAATGGGGTGACAACAGTGTTGGCTGGGCCAGCAACAGAGGCAAGCTGCCTGGGAGTTGGTGACGTCATCATGTGCCGGGGCCGTGGGGAAGGCGACGCGATCAGGCTGCGCCACAGCAGCGGAAGGCAGGTGCTGTTTACTCCTGAGAGACTGCACATACAGGGAAAAAAGCACTGCCTTAGGTGCCGTATGGGCAAAAGGAATGTTCCGTAAGGACCTTCTGCAGTTTAGCCATGGTCCAATCGGAGATAAACAGAGGGAAATGGAAGTGCCAGAGCCGGGGGAACCGCGGGAATTCTCGGCTCACGACGGCCACGTCGTGTGTGCAGAGACTGTGCCGGAGCGGGCGGGGTATCTCGTTGCGGCGAGATGAGGAGCCGAAGGAAGCCGAGGCAGCAGGCGTTAGGAACCGCGATGACAGACTTGAGCCTGGGTGCAGGACGCGCAGATCCCTGGGAGGAAAGATGCTGGCTTTCTCCAAAGAGGTCATCGTCAGAAGCAACAATGTCAAGGTCCATGATGAGACGAGACGAGATGAGACAAGACAATAGCAGGTAAGTGGCACAAAGCTGGGTTGGTGTGAAATTTTGTCACGAGTAGGAGGAGTGAAGGACTGGTATTTTTAAGAAGCTTGAATTGAGAAGGAGTTTAGGCATGATCTTTCCTCAACTTACTTCAGTTATGTCATAACTCCATTTCATTGCACAGTTGTTTGGAAGTGTGGCGCTTATTGCATAATGCTAACTAATCCAGCTTGAATAGGACTTAAGGTGCACTTAAGGTATATATGTAGTTAAAACTCTTGGAAAATAAATAACGGACAATTTTTCCCTGCATTTTTCTACCAGCCCTTCTTGGAATTATTCAAATTTAAGAATAGCGTTTCTTAACATAAAATAGCAAAGAACGCTTGCTTTTCATCATCTAAAGTACATAATATCATTAAAAGATTCACAGAATCTGGAGAAATCTCTGTATGCAAGGGAAATGGCAAAAAAACTGTATATGCTAGCTGTGATCTTTGGGCCCTCAGGTGGCACTGCATTAAAAACAGACACAATTCTGTAGTAGAAATGACTGTATGGGTTCAGAAACTTCTGAAAACCACTGCCTATAAAAACAGCTTGTTGCTGCATCCACAAATGCAAGTTAAAACTCTAAAAGGCAAAGAAGAAACTATACATAAACAAGATCCAGAAATGCTGCCACCTTCTTTGGGTCCAAGCTCATTTAAAATGGCCTGAGGGGAAGTGGAAAAGTGACTGACAAATCAACATTTTATAAGGCATTATAAACATGGCTATAAATATTTATAAAAATGCATTACACATTATAGCCATGGTTATTATGCGTTATGAATTGTTAACATAATGCATTATAAATACTGTTCATAACAAACTGTAAGAGCTCATAAGTTGTATTTGTCCACTCTAAGTAAAGTGAAGCATACTGTACTAAAGCCTCCTCCAGTGTTAAGAGTGAGGCTTCAAGCTGAAGTATTTACTGAAGAATTTACTGAAACACTAAAACATCCACAATAAAGCACATTACAGGCTTCAAATGTCAGATTTTAAACTAGTGCTGCCATCAGTGTTTTACCCAATGTGGGAAAGGTAATGTAAACCACCATTAGCTTGGCACTAACTTAACACTGCATATCCAATAGAATGCTAGCAGAAATTTGCATTACTGTACTGGTGATGTTACAGAGTAAAGGTTTTCAGAGCTTGACGTTAGAACCAGTGAGGGAACAAATTACAATGACAGCGCTCTATCTCACCTCTCTCTCTCTCCAGGCCTTCGCTCTACAGTGACTTCACACTAGTGTGATGTCAGAGGGGGTTCAGTGGAGGGACTCATGGGCACTTCGTTTGCTGTGATGTAATGCAACATTTAAAGTGAGAGAGCTGGTTAAGAAGAGTGCAGTGTAGCAATAAATCTAGGCTGGACAGCCTGTTTGGACTGTTTGACAGCATAACATGTTATTAACATTACTTAAAATGCACTATATTAACAATATATTCATAATGTATAATAAACATAGCTAATGTCATACATGTGTTTATAGATGCTTACAAATGTGACATTCATAGAAAGTGTCACGGTGATTTGTTTATGGAACATATTGAAAGAATAATTACACAAAAAACTGCCAAACCAGAGAGGAACAGTGTGAATTAAATACAAATTACAACAGTAGAGTTTTTCCAGTCTCATTATTGTGATATAAACTATAGAGTACTGTGCAAGTCTAAGACCAACCTTCAATTATTTAATTTCTGGTCAAATGGATTCCACTTGCTGTAGCTGAATTTTGTCCCATCAGACCAGAACCAGCTATTGTCTTAAAGCACATTGGTGTTAGTTAAAAATGGTTCATAAAAAGTTTTGATTTGTCCTGTTAAGGGTAATTAAAATAAAAAAAAATTAAGAAATTGAGACAGTTCTTAATCAGTTGCTGACCAAAAATGATTCTTTCAACCACTAAAGTGAGTTCTTTACCTGTAATCAATGCATCCAAGTCAGACACAAAATAAAGTTACTCCATTAATGTCTTTTCTACTGAAGAACATCATGAAGAGCTGAACTGTCATCATTACCTCATAGAGGCTTTATTACTTGAGCTGCAACAAGAGAAAATAAAAAAAAAAAGACAAATTATCATCTGTAATGTGGAGGCTTGCCAGAGGTGGGATTAAAACCTAGGCCGTCTGGTCAGTATTTCAAAGGCCAACCAGGTGAACCACCACAAGGTTTTGGAAAGCAGGACCCAAACGCTGAGCTTCTATGCAATTGGAAGTTATTATTGAAATAATATATACAACCGCGTCGCCACGTTAATAAACCGGCACCCTACCACTGCTCTATGTAGGCGGTGTCACGCTCTATGTAGGCGGTGTCACGCTCTATGTAGGCGGTGCCAAGGGTTACAAGGGAACGCCGAAAACGGGTGGAACACTTTCCCAACAGAAAGGAATAACCATAGGAGAATGAAAAGAGGAAGGGGCAAACTCGTCCCTTCTCTAGTTTTAGTTATTTATCTCTTAAAAAAGGAAGAAAGACACGACTCGAGAAAAGGGGGATAGGCTCGAGAAGCGACAAAGAGAAAAGAAGCTCGAGGAAAATCCTCTTAGAGCTTCTTACCGAGATTACCGGCCGGTCTGTTTGCCAGAATTCTGAAACAAAGACTCAGCAAGGTGTGTCTTCTTCCCAGCCCTTATAAAGCCCCCTGAGCAGGTGTGGCTCATTTGGGTCGTTGACTCCCGCTGGTGGCCGGCGGTGGCCTAGCCCGGGAGCCAACCCTTACATCATCATTGTTGATTATATGACAGCATGCAGAGATTCACTGCAGAATATAATGTGAATGGTTTATATATTGCACATTTGGAGTCGGTTAATCCTAAATTTAATTGACTAAATCTGGTATTTCTTTCAGTTGTTGGACTCTAAGAAAAATAAAACCCTTACCAAAAGCTGATGAAGCCATGAAGAGAACAAAAAGCAAAGACATTTCAGTCAAACGAACCATATTGGCTCTTCTTCGGGAGCTAAAAAGAAAATAAAAAAAGTTAAATTGTTCCAGTGGAAAACAAAGTTTTTGTAAATGATTTCAGACCTGCTGGTCATTCTTTGTGTAGGTCTAGATGTGGAAACTCTTGTGATTTGGTGATTAGATGTACTACTGTGGAGAAAGTGCTGTAGTTTTATACTCTTCAGAAAGTGGTTGACACCCTGCACACTCTAGGTCCAACCTACCTCTTCTTATTGGAGGCGACATTGATTGAAATGTCATCTTTCTGCCAGTGATGGAAAGCAGATTGTTCTGAAAAATAAAAATGTTTTGAGATTGTATAAAGAAATGACTTCCTGAACACTGCATGGAGCTGATCAGGTGTTTGGTTGGAGTTACTGCCAAAAAAAAATAAAAAATTAATTAATTAAAAAATGGAAATGTAAAATATTAAATGCACTTCTTTATTTAATTAGAATGTACTTGTTACACAGTATTTATTAATGTGGCGTATAAGAACATATGATCACATTTGAGGAGGTGTTTATGCAAATTCTGATACCTTTCTTACAACTGTACATGAACTGCCTTCAGACTGTTTCTTAAAGATAACCGTGTGGTGTGATGCATTTATTTGTGCTATAAAGAAGAGCATTACACACAAAAAACCCCTAAGTGACCATGTTCATTTCCAAAGTCGTCACCTTTATTTCTCTAGCACATTTAAAAGACAACAAGTGTCGGCCAAAGTGCTGCACATTAATATCCACTGCTAACTATTCAACCTTACACAATACATTTAACAAGTTTACATGCATGCAAAGCAAATCAGTTAAAAACAATAAAACAAAATACAACAAAATACAACAAATTAGAGGAAGGTAGAAGAGCTTCACTGGCAAAACAGAACCAACCGAGACAGAACAGATACTGAGTGCATAATCATTAAAAAAGACTCAAATGCCTGTGAAAATAGATGGGTTTTTAGATTTGTCTTAAAAACCTCTATTGTAAGGGGTTCCTTTAAGAAAAGTGGAAGACTGTTCCAGAGTCTTGGGGCAGCTACAGAAAAGGCCTGGTCGCCTTTGAACCTCATCTGAGAGCATGGAATAGCTAAGAGCGACTGGTTAGAAGATCACAGGTCAGAGATATAGCTCGGAGCCAAGCCATGCAATGCTTTAAAAACAGAAAAAAACATCTTTAAATTCAATTCCATATTTTACTGGTAACCAATGCAGTGACACAAGTACAGGGGTAATGCTCTTCCTTTTCTTGGTACCAGTCAAGAGCTTTGTGGCTGCTTTTTGGACCAGCCACAGATGTGACAAACTTGCCTGACAGATTCCCAAATACAGCGAGTCGCACTAGTCAATTCAAGAGGAAATAAAAGCATGAACAACTGTTTCCAGGTCCTTAAAAGACAGAATGCTTTTAATTTTTGCTATATTCCCAAGCTGTCTATCACAACAGTGTTTATTTGCTTCTTAAACCCACATAGCAAAATAACACTGATTAAACATAGAATTAACATCAGGAAAAATCTTATCTGAATCTGAATCAACACTGATTTCTGATATTGATTCAGCATTGAAACTGCTCGTTATGTTTGATATTGAAATGACATTGAATAAGCAACCAAGGCAGACACAAAATCAACTCTTTTTCAATCAAAAGCTAAATGCAGTAATATTGATTACTGGTTTAATTTTAAGGTGATTCAACATTGATTCAGGCATAAAACGACTTATTATAAGAATACACCCTCCCCTACAAAATAAAAATCAAAACACAGTTTAGCTCAATTACTTTATTTTACTTGCATCTAAAATCAAACAATGAAATATTATTTAATTTCATAATATTAAACCACTCAGTGGGAGAAGGTTTTAGCATCTATATAACAAGTAACAATTTTCATGAATTGTAAATCACATTTTTTACAGGCACTTCTGCACATTCTAAAGCACAATTACTGTTTATTTCCTTAATTTACCATACTGCAAAAAAACTACATTATATGTGTGTGTGTCTAAATGTGGAGACAAATGTCATATTTAACCTTCTACTGCATGCATTATCATAGTAATATAAAAACTTCACTTTCTTGCATAAAATGGTCCGTGACTATTAAATTATATCAATTATAAAATTATATATAATGACTATTACTTAAAAAACATTTTTTAAAAGTGTGTGCATGGGTCATTTTGGAGTATGTTGCCTTGAGGCAACATTGTGAGACAATGGGAAGAAATGGCATAGAGCAGTGTTCCCTGAAGTGGTAAAACCTGGCTTGTGACTGGCTAAATCCATTACACTGTCACACAATGTTGCCTATAAGCAACAAACATATTTCTGCAAATTCTCATAACAAAAAAATGATAATGAATGTTTAAAAAGAGGGATAAATGTGCCCACTAAGAGATAGTATGACCAAGTACATACTTTTTATTGACTTACTCAAACTCTTTCCTTAATTGTTAACTCTACTATTGTCTTTAAATATGTATAATGTTATTGTAAAGTGAGGAAAATGATTTTGTTGCCCTGAGGCAACATCATGCAATAGAGGGTTAATACCTGTAAAGGATTTATTCTCATTGTAACAGGTTTTGCAATTTTTAATATTATTTTTGCTAGAACCTTATGTGAGGGTGTGAGGTAACCAGGATTTATTTGAAGTCTACAGACCAGGGTAAGAAAGAGAAATGCTTGCACCAAGGATGCATCAGAAAAGGGAATTTATTGGCTAAATATCAAACTACTTTTGGACTACATTCAATGATAAACAATAGAAAATAAAACCAGAAAACAAACAAAACAAAGTGATAGTAATGAAAGACAAAATAGCTCGAGTAAGTTAGAGTGATTCACGGCTAAATGGTATGAGGCAGTGTGATTTGGGAAGTAACTACCTCTCTTTAGCAGAATCGAAAGTTATGGATATATCCTCCTGGGCCAGACAAGAACTATCCACCTTCCTTCTCTGAGGGTGGTTTAAACCTAAAGTGTGTAGACGAACAGGCAAGTTACAAAACAAACAAAGGTTTCAGATCTGAAAATGTAGCGTTCTAATACTTCTGACCTGTCTTTCTGACCAAGGCCGGCACAAACTTAGAAACTTAGCTATCCTTTTCTTGCGACGCAGGAATCTGAACTCAATTTTGCGGTGCACTCTGGTTTTGCTCAGCTGGAGGCCCTACCCTTTGGAGGTGGAGCCAGAGGGCTGATAGGTTCTCCTCACCTAAGGTTACTAGCTACTCATTGTTTCCAACTCTGATTGGTTGTGCATAATTTTAGGAATGCCTTCCCCAGAATCACTGCCTCCTTTGTTTCAGCTAGTTTAAACAAAGAAAAAGAAACATTTCTTTATCATCAAATTGGTTTAACTTTCAAGATCAAGATTTCCGCTTCTGGTATTTCTAGTTTAGTTAAAAAGAGTTCTAACAAATGCTTGCAGTTTGGAGTGGACGTATACCTTAGAAATGTACTTTCTGTTACTTAAAGATAAGGTTGTCCACAGGACTTTGGAGGGCCATGTGGCCAATATTCCAGGGAGGCATTGTCCTGTTGCCCTCTAGGTCAAGGGAGAGGGATGCTGGTTCTTGATTCAGCTGTAAATCTGACTGAGTCTGGGGTTGGGGGATGTTAAGCTGACAGATTTTCACCTCAATTCCAGACTTGCTGGAGTCAAAAGGCCCTTAACTTTGGGTTGTTGATACGTTAGAAACACTAACCTAGAGGTAAAGTTCCAGCCAGTGTTCGCTACATCATATTCATGCTTAGAGCATCAACAATGTGTCATTTGACGAAGGATGTCCAAACTTCTTGATTAGACTGTGCATGGTGCCATTTTCCAGTCACTGGCCAAGATAAGTTTTGTAAATGTGCAAAGGTGTATTATCAGTCTGTCTTAGCTCATATTTATTATGGCCATGTTGATCGACAAACTATAATTCATTATAGATTTAATGTCTGTTTTTCAACCTAAATGTTAATTTCTTCAATCAACATTCAACATTGATTTAATGTTGTTTTTTCATTTTCAACCAAATGCAACAAAACTAACCAACATTCACAGTTGAATCAATGTTACTTTGCTATCTGGGGACTTAAGAGCAGAATCAAAAACAACACCAAGATTTTTTACAAGGCTATGTATATAAGATGATAAACAGCCCAAATCATTAGCTGCAGCTCTGGCCGATTTACAATAATAATAACCTCTGTTTTGTCTTGGTTTAGATTAAGAAAGTTCTAAGACATCAAGCAGTTTATATCTCTTAGACAATCAAAAAAGGAGCAGAGAGTCATTTTCACCAGTTTAAAATAGAGCCTTGAGGTACCCCACAAGTAATCAGTGCTGAGGAGGAGGAAAGGTGACTGATCTTGACTGAAAAGGTTTTATTTTCCAGATAAGAGGCAAACCACTTCAGCGCAGCACCCTGGATGCCAGCCCCACAATTCAGGCAATCCAACAAAATGGTGTGATCAATAGTGTCAAAGGCTGTGCTATTGTCTTAGAGAATTAAAATAGCACACTTTCCAGAATCAGTGGCTAAAAGTAAATTATTAAGTACCTTAATAAGAGCAGACTCAGAAAAAACGGTGTGGGAAGCACATCCAGGGAGCAAGTGATAGGCCGCATATGCATAATTAAATCAGTTAAATAAGACACTGACACAGGCTCAAAGTCATTAAGGAAAACATATTGTGTAAGTAAATAAGAGGGGTTAAGGGCTGAAGATGAGATATGTGCTCTTATATTGTCCATTTTGTGGATAAAAAAACCTCAAAATCTTCACAAATTTTAGCAATTCAAGGGTTGATGTAACGGTATGATGCAGTACCTTGTTTATTGAATTAGGAAAAGTTTGGAATGTTTGGCGATTATGTTGGCAAAGTATTTTGACCTAGCAGCTTTCACCATGCACTGATAGTTAGTTAGACATTTGGTTAGTTAGAAAATTTGGTAAGAGAACTGTAAAGCTCAAGTGATTTATGTTTACGTATTGCATACAAGTTACATAGGAGCTCGCCCGAAGCCAGACTGAGTTGTTTTGCTTGTCATTTTTCAGAAATGTTACTGAACTCTTCAGAAATGTTATCTCATGTTCCAGAAGACGTTCGGTCAGCTTGGTACAAGTATTCCACAACATTTGATCATCATTTTTAAAATTAGCTTTGAATAATTTGCTTTGTTACTTTTCCAAACTCATAAAGAATAAACCTATGCAAAACCAGCCAGCTTTGGCCATTGTGTTCCTTTATTCAGCTGGAGCCTCAAAATTTTATAAAAGGCTGTTATCAGTTCTTGCAAATATTCTTGTGATAATGCTAGCTGGTCTGGCATATCACCAACAGCCATGGACAGTTACTTACCTGTTTCCTGGAGAGAGTGACGGCGTGGGTCATTCGGTCCTGTTGTAGGTCTGCGCGCCTGAGAGGGACACAGGGACAGGGGGTGCACAGGTCGACCTGGAAAAAGAAAAACAAAAACTGTTTTGATGATTCTATTGTTTGATCCAAAGCTACATTGAATATGTGCCATGAATGAAATATGTAGAAATGTATACTTGAACTAAATGTTGAATATGCTTGTATTGTTAACTGGAATGTGACTATTTTGCCCTAAGAATACCTGAATGTAATTTTGGTTTAGTCCACTGGGAGGGGCTATAGGTATTTAAGTAGAGGCCAAGGGAAGCTAGGAAGGAAAGGCCCTGTCCGTGTATTGAACTGTCTAACTGCTGCAAGTAAGACGGCTAGGACTAAGTCTCGCTGCCGACATGCACCCTGAGGTAGAGAGGGGAAACAAGTGAGAATAGTCTACAACAAAAGTGCCTGTCATGTATTTGAGTTTTTTTTTTTAGTTGTGTGCAAGTACCACTGGTGAAGGATCTTTTATTGTATCGCTTGTATTTTTGATGATGTATGTGCATTAAAGAAATGGGGAAAGAGAACCAATTAACCAGCCTTCTGCCCAAACTTCTTCTAAATAAGCCAACAAGGTAACCTCCAGGCCACTTTGAGTCCACCCCAGCACAATTCTGTTAAATAAGCCTGGAATGTCAAAAGATAACTAAAAGAAAGGATGTTGATAGTTTTATGATGCAGTCCAGTTCAAGCATGTGTGCACAGGGGCCCAAACCACTAGGGGATCCCTGTGGGAAATTATTTAAACAGTGGTTTTGACTTGCATTGGGAACTTTACTTGCAGAGCAGTAAAAAAAAATATTTCAACCCTAATCTTAATGCTTTCAGCAACATTCTCAAACATCCGCTTCATTTTTTCCTCTAATCTCAGTAATGGTTCCACTATCTTCCAATCCTATGGTGTAGCCACCAGGGGGATTTTCAAGATTGTCCTAGTATTCCTGTGAATGTGTTTGGAATTTGAAGCTCCAGATAATCAAAATACGTGTCTGAGAGATCTGTAAATTAGACTGCTTTGGAGTCAGTCAGAGCTGAAACAACAGAAGAACCTCGATTGCAGTCCACAGTTACAGGTAAATGAAAAGACTTCAAGACCAACCCCTTTGTGGGAATACTCACCACATTAGTGGATGGAGTAACCTGATTTTCTGTTATTCAAAGAGTTTTGGTTAAGAGCCACCCTGCTGCCTACAGGAAGAGTCTTTTATTGTCTCATTGTGTAAGTGATTGAAGGTGATACATCCCACACTGGGTCAGGACCTGGTTGCTGACAGGGCTGTAAACAGAGAATCAGTGAGTGTCCTAATCCCAGTTTTATGGCTTTCAACAGACTAAAATATGATTAGAACAAATATGAGCTGTACATTATAAATACAGGAGTGCAGAAAAAATAGCTGTACAAAACAGTAATTAGCTGTATTTAGAAACAGTAAAGTATTGTAATTGTATAATACAGTGTGACTACCAGGCCCAGATCATTAAATTATAAATCTCTCAGCACAGATGTTTGATGGGCCTTTACCTGTCTTTTTTCAGGCTATTTTTATGATGTCATTGCAGGTTACATGAGGGCTGCAGTCTCAGTTTTGATGTTTGGGCAGCTGCTGATTCTTACTGAGCTGGAGCTGTGAGTGTTAGCTTCATGGTTGGAGTTAAAACCAAGGTGATAATTAGAGCCGTCAGTAAAATCACAGCATATAGCATTTAGAATTTTTTGGCTTAGTTAGCCCAAAAAGTCATCTTTTTGGCCATTTTTGTGCTGTTGGTGTGGTTTCTGATTTACTTAAAACTTACACCTGCTTAGGAGGAAGTGTAGATATTTAGTAACTACTAATCACAGTGTTAAAACTAGTTTGTGTGCTGCAACTCGTTTTGATTTAGTAATGCATAAACCTGAACTTAGTAAACACGTTACAACTAGCCTACGTTTGAACCTATGCACAGCTGGTTGGAGACCACGGTTCTATTAGGTATAATATCTTAATGTACAGTTAAATTATATATCATGTATTTGTTATTGTTTAGACGGAAGGTCAATGTGTTGATCTTCCCTGGTTGCATAAAGACAGTAGCATATTGATAAAGAATACATTTTCAAATGTGCTGTGTCTCGCTATGGCATGATATGAGTTTACAGCCTATTGCTAACAGCAGTACAGTCATCCTGCATATTCCAATATGCTACTGCTGTAAAACAAAACAAAAAATTAATGCAATATTATTATTATATTTTTAACAGTACAGTCACCCTCTGTTTTAGCGTTTAATGGCAATACAAAATGATTAGCGTGTGGGTGAGTAACGGCTTCTTTGCCAACACTGAAGTTTCTACTAAAGCATGAGTAGATACAAATCAATGTGATGAAACAGTTATATATCAGCATTACTGAGCTCTTTTGATGGACATTCAAAATGTTATCAAACCAAATGTCTGTTGGCTTGAGCAATCGCTCAGATAAACAAGGAAACCAAAAGTATCTGTTCCCACAGTAGAACAAATGAAATAGAACACAAAACAATGAAGCATTTAAAACTTATATCTTACAAGGTTGTTCTTGTATTATGATCTGTTTTAACCCAATGCATTAATTGAGAATATATATATATATATATATATATATATATATATATATACACAACACCAAGCCACATTCTGCACGTGTTACAAAGCATGACTGTGTAATCGGAGACTGTGGGTGATAGACTTGCCTGCCTGTCTTCTATTGAAAATGTATGGCATGTTAATACATTCAAAAATATGGCAATGAAGGCCCCATTTACTTGCACAAATGAAGAGTTATATTACAGAACAATTGCAAAAAATCAGTTTTCAAAACAGATCAATTGGTGTTTTCAGCCCCTAAATGATAACTAAGTGTTGTTACAAGAAAAGGTGATGTAACATGGTAATAAAAATGCTCCTGTCCCAACTTTCTTGGAATGCTTTGAAGGCATCCAATTTGAAATGAGTTCATGAAAGTTAATATACTTACGCAATACTGTTTTCATATATTGAGCTAGGATAAGCTCATAAGAGTAACTTTTATTCTGTAATAACTATTGCCCTAAATTCAGTCCTAAAAGAATTTATCATGGTAACAAAACTTTAATTCTGTAATTGTTAATGTATGAAATTCAGTCCTAATAGGCGTTTTCATGATGACAGAACAGATAAGATTGCGGAGTTAGCATGTTTCTGTAAAAATCTCGATATCATAGAATGTAGATGTCTAATCTATCTGGAATTAGAATAAGAGTTAGAATAATAGTATGAATCTTAGTGTGAATCAAAGAGTTAGAATAAGATTAATCTTATTCAGAGTTAGGATGTTTCCGTAAACTCTTATTATCTGGATTAAGAGTATGAACTTAAAACTTTTATTCTGTAATAGTCACTGTCCTAAATTTGGTTATCAGGTGACAAAGCAGATCATATTTAACAGTTTCTGGATGTTCTGGATGTTTACATAATACACCATCGTCTTTTAGGAGTCACTCATGCAGAAATCTAGATAAATCGAAGGATTCACAAACTCTAACTCACAAATATATTTTATAAAAATAGGTCAGCAAAAAAAACATGATTGGTTGATTGCGCAATCAGTTCCTAATTATGTCCGTTGTTAACATGACACAGCTCCTAAAATGCTAACCAATGGAAGAGCTTTCTTGGCTTTATCTACCAAAATACCACAACAAAAATTTAAATCTTAAAAATGTAACCCTTTTGTTTATTAACAATGAAATAATGTAATTATTAAAATGGCAATGCATTTGTATGTTTGCATTTAGTTTTTTTCCTACTCTTATATGCAATGTCGAGCCCAAAATGAAAATTCAACTACGATACTGCAAGTTTAATTTACCATTTGGTATACAAATATCCCATTTCATTTACAGAAAGATTTAGATGCATTTAAATTTGCCCTTGCATTTTGCTCTTTGACATTGCAATTAATGCATTATTGGAGAGTGAAAATGCATATGGGTTTCATTTAATTTACATTTTTGACCATGGTTATAATTATTACACAATCAAATTAAGGATAAATATGCTGTTCTGGAAATACATTTTAATTATACAAAGCTACTTATAAAGCATCTAAATCTCTGTGCAAATGAAACGTTGATACTTGTATATCAAATGGCAAATTTAAATCACTGCAATGAATTAGAATTTTCATTTTGAGCTCAACATAGCATATATAAGTGGGAAATTTAAATGCAAACATTCAAATTCATAGCCACTTTACATATTTTGTACATAAAATGTTTTAATTTTGAGTACTGATGTGCTTCCATAGATGTGTAATGAAGAAATTACTGCTTCATCGTAAGTTCTACCAAGGAGACTCCAATGCTATGTCACTCATTACTTTGTCCAGTCACTAGTCTCCACCTTTCATTAAAATGACTCCAATTACATGCCCTTTTTGCTGCTGTCAGGTGCCAATATTTTGACGTTCCCCTCCTTTCTGCCCACCACCACCAGTTTGGTTCCTGTCCTGTTGTCCAGGGAGTAGGCTTTGCCCCCTTTTTTCTTAAATGGCAGGATCTGTGAGGGTCCAGATGCTCCAAGGCCTGGGCCGGCGGTGGCGCCTATGCCAAACGAATACAATTCCCTAATAAGTGTTATCTTTCAAACTGTAAAAATCCAATCAAGGACAGAAGTTTTGTCTTCCTTCATTCTTGCCTCTTGAGTTATTCTGGTTGAACTAAATAAAAAAACAAATTTTCAAAGACTGATAAACCAACTGATGAGCCAGTTATTTATCTCAGTGTTATTGAACTCTTTTCTCTTTTGAGGGATGATGGAACTGAACAGTCTCCTGAGTAGTGGATGTGTTCACCAGTGATAAGCTTAGTATTGATTTTGTACTGGACTCGTGCAGGTGTTTTGTGGAAAGTTACCTCATCAACTGAAATCACAGCTACCCAATTTATTGTCAAATAAGAATTTGTTACTGGGTTTTGGTGAATTGTTTGCTACATAGAGCCAAAATAAGGTTGTAACTTAATTTAAATAAGTGAATCTTTTATGAAACATATTGAAACAATCATAGCACTAAAAAGCTGCAACCCAGAGAGGAAAAGTGTGAATTAAATAAAAATTACAACAGTAGTTTTTCCAGTCTCATTTATTGAAATGTATTCTAATTGGATATGGAATATATTACTTTTTTATGTATTGTAAGGGAATCACTGATTATATTTAGGGCAGTATATTGAGTATTCAGCAATCACTCCTTTTTAAAGTATTTTGCCCAGCCCTGCTCTCTGGGGATACCACACTCCTGGGTTAAGAAGGTACTGCTGCTGCTGTTATTGTTGTTGTGGCTGATGTTATTGGCTTAGATGTGACCAAGGAGGGTGGATTTACAGAGTGTGAAAGTGCACACCCTCCATGGACATCATGTCCTCCTGCATTATCTCTCCCTGGGTTTTGTTTTTGAGTTAGTGCTGGGCCTGGCTGTCTGTTCAAGTGCCTGTTCAAAATAAAAGAGCATTCGCCTATTTCGCATCTTCTTCTACAACAATATGTATGTGTGTATAAACAAATATGTTGATGTCTATTCATATAAATTGTTTTGTTGTCCTGTATATTATTTATTGTCTTGTGTATGTATTGTTGTGTATGTTTATTGTCTAGTGTATTTATTGTATATTCTGCACTTGTTTCACTGTGTCTTGTATCTGTTGTGTGTTACAGCACGGGGCCTGAAGAACAACATTTAATTACAATGCATACAAGTTATAATAAGGAATGACAATAAAGACCTTTTCACTTGAACCAAAAACCTAACTGACAAACTCAACATTTTTTTTAATCATTTTTATTTGCATGATCAAATTAACAGAAAAGGGACAGAATGTAAAATAAAAGTGTCTGCCATTTTAAGAAAGTGTTAATTTCTTGGCTTTCAAGGATTTACATCAGCGTCTTGACGCAGACAAAAGGATATGGACTTCCACATGGAATATCATTCCAGTCCTTCTGAGCTGTAGACAAGGAAACAAGATTTAGCATGAACTCCTAAGACCAGGAAGGCTAGTATAGTGTGATGTATACTACAGAGTACTTTGCAAAAGTCTGAGATGAACCTTCAATTATTTAATTTTGGTAACACTTTCTATGAATGTCACCTTTAGAAGCATCTATAAACACATTTATAACATGTTATTCATAAGGCATTATAAACATGGTTATAAATATAAAAAAGAATTACACTGAATTACACTTTATAGCCATGTTCATTATACATTATGAATTGTTAATATAATGCATTATAAATTAATAACATGTTATAATGCCAAATGTCAGTGCCAAAGAAGTCAGTTCCAGCTTGGAGAGCATACAGTAAAGACAAATACCAAGCTAACGGTGGTGTACATTACCTTTCCCACATTGGGTAAAACACTGATGGCAGCAGTATTTTAAACTCTGACATTTGAAGCCTGTAATGTGCTTTATTGTGTATGTTTTAGTGTTTCAGTAAATCCTAAATAAATGTGTTTATAGATGCTTACAAAGGTGACATTCATAGAAAGTGTTACCTTAATTTCTGGTCAAAATGGCCATTAAGTACAAGTTGTTTTTTTCAGCATGAAGAAAAAAAAAAGCATAAATTCAACAGCAAATTACACAGAAGCCTTAACAATATCAATATTTTCAGTATTTCGTATTTAAAATTCAGTCTTAGAAGTTGGTTGCACTTTCTGCTTTATATGATCCAAGTAATCCAAAATACATTCAGTGATGTTGAGGTCTGGACTCTGGGGTGGTCAGGTTTTGGTTACATAACCTGATTTATCTTTTATCAAATCACCTAAGAAGTATCTCTTTAAGCCACTTTAACTGTAAATGACTTTGTGTTGGAGGTGTTACTGCAATTATATGTTGTTTCCTGCTTTTTTTCCTCACACTATATTCATAATAACATTTGCACAGTGCTGTATGTAAATTTATACGACAGTTAGTTCCGGCCACGCAAGCTGATTGGTTGAGAAGCGTTCTACGTGTCCTGATATTTCACCATAACATCACAGGTTTTTCACAAACACTGTATCACTCTGCTGAGACGCCGTTGCTAAGCAACGAGTTTGACAGCTGTAGGAGACGCTCAAGCCATTTGAACGCTTTTGCTTCTTACTTTGCCACAAACAGAAAATGGACACTTTTAAGATCACATTTGACCGACAGCTGATTTGGTCAGACTCTGAAGATGAGACTACACTAAATTCCCAAACTGCCATCACCACTGAGCAGCTTTTCAGCTGAAACAACCTGGAATCAGCCAGAAATGAACCGAATACCATTCGCCAAACGTGTAGTCTCGTCTTCAGAGTCTGACCAAATCGGACTGAGCCATAAAACTGACCCAATAAAAAACAAAAAAGCTGCTCAGTGGTGATGACAGTTTGTGAATTTAGTGTAAGGAGCTGGAGAACGAACTGCCGGCTGTGCAGCGAGTGAGCGGAGCTCGTTACTCTGACGTAGCAACAAGCTGCTTGTTAAGGAACTATAATATTTCTTACTTTATTTATTTAACTGTTGTATAAAAGCCATAGAACACTCAAGGTTGTGTGTTATCTCGTATAACATCACGGCTGTGATGATCTACTCTGACCAAATCACAGCTGTGATGTTTTTTTGCAATAACACACTCCCTCGTGTGTTCTATTGCTTAAATATACTGTTTAAACAGGAAAAAAATGAATTAAGAACAGTAGTTACTTACGACCAGACGCGCTACTCCAGTTGATGTGCCCACAGCACTCTCCATTGTGATGATTGGGTTCATTTGGATTCCACTTGCTGTACTTGAATTTTGTCCCATCAGACCAGAACCAGCTATTTGTCTTAAAGCACACTGGTGTTAGTTAAAAATGGTTCATAAAAACTGTAATGTTATCATATCTACATTCAGTTATGGTACCGTCAAAGTAAACATGGATTCCTTGAAGTTACTTTTCTCTTTTTACATGTTTCATCACATCCTGTTTTATACCTTCTGACAGTCAGAGAGACCAGTCCATGTAGGGTTCTCCTTAGGGTCGTAAGCACGGATTAGAGCCTTCACCATTTTATTTTCATTTTCATTGTGTATTGAGACCAGGTGAGCATTAAGACTTAAACAGTGATCCTGGAAAGACAAAAAGTAAAAGCCTGCCGTCATCGCTGGATTCTGATATAAAGCAATACTGATACATTGTTTCCTCCAAATAGCATAAAAAGGATGTAGTTTTTATCTCGATGCTAAAAACTGTTTGTGCTACAACACTTGCAACTTTTATAATACTAGTGCTAAGTGCACTAACATTTAATGTACAGCCCTGCATATGATCAGTATTATACAAATGGTGCAAATACTTTTGATTGGTGCAAACTGAATACGTGATGACAGAAAATGTGCATGTCTAACTGCTTTGAAACCTCTGTGAACACAAGAGTTTAAAGAAAATTAAAATGTCTTTGAGATTATCGCTCATTTCACTATCCTTAGGCATGTCTTCCTCCACAGGTTTGTTTTTGTTCCCTTCAACAGGTAGTCTATGTGACATGTTACTGCCATTTTCAAATCCCTCATTTAGATCAGACTTCACCTCAGCAGAGGTCCAGTCCATAGATTTGGAAAAGTAGCTGAAGCAGCGTTCATTAAATTTCACCCAGCCATCCGGACAGCTTGGCCCACATGCATACTTTTCAACTGCATTTGTTTTGGGATTTTTGATTTGTCCTGTTCAGGGTAATTAAAATGAAAAAAATTTAAGAAATTTAGAGACTGACCAAAAAAAGTTGCTGACTAAAAAAGAAATATCTTTCAACCACTAAAGTGAGTTCGTTACCTTTAATGAATGCATCCAAGTCAGCATCTAGAAAGTCAGACACAAAATAAAGTTACTCCATTAATGTCTTTTCTACTGAAGAATATCATGAAGAGCTGAACTGTCATCATTACCTGATAGAGGCTTTATTTCTTGAGCTGCAACAAGAGAAAATAAAAAAAGAGAAATTATCATCATTGTTGATTATATGACAGCATGCAGAGATTCACTAAAGAGAATCACTGCAGAATATAATGTGAATCGTTTATATATTGCACATTTGGATTCAGTAAATACTAATTTTAATTGACTACATCTGGTATTTCTTTCAGCTGTTGGAGTCTAAGAAAAAATGAAACCCTTACCAAAAGCTGATGAAGCCATGAAGAGAACGAAAAGCAAAGACATTTCAGTCAAACAAACCATACTGGCTCTCCTTCAGGAGCTAAAAATAAAAATAAAGTTAAATGAATCCACTGGAAAACAAAAAAGTCTTCGTAAATGATTTCAGACTTGCTGGTCGTCCTTTATGTAGGTCTAGATGTGGAAACTCTTGTGATTTGGTGATTAGATGTACTACTGTGGAGAAAGTGCTGTAGTTTTATACTCTTCAGAAAGTGGTTGACACCCTCCACACTCCAGGTCCAACCCACATCGTCCTGTTGGAGGCGACATTGATTGAAATGTCATCTTTCTGCCAGTGATGGGAAGCAGATTGTTCTGAAAAATAAAAATGTTATGAGATTGTGTAAAGAAATGACTTCCTGAACACTGCATGGAGCTGATCAGAAGGTGTTTGGTTGAAATTACTGCCAATAAAGTTGGGTCCCTTTTTTGTTTCTTTCAATGACCGTGTTAAAAAAATAATGGAAATGTGAAATATTAAATATAATTTTTATTTAATTAGAATGTACTTCTTACACAGTATTTATTAATGTGAGGAAGTATTCATGCAGAAATCCTGATACTTTTCTTTTCTAACAACTGTACAAGATGAACTGCCTTCAGAATATTTCTTAAATATAACTGCATGTTGTGCTATAATGGCTTTACAGTATTTTGTCTCTGAAAGAAGAGAATTACACACACAACCCCACCCTAAATGACCATGTCCACCTCAGACCTGAAAAGCTCAAGTGATTTATGTTTAACTATTGCATACATGTTAAAGCTTGTCAAATCTTAAAATGTTCAGAACAGTGTCTCAGGTTCCAGAGGAGGTTGGGTCAGTTTGGTACAAGTATTTCATGGCATTTGATAATGATTTTCAAATTATTTTTGAATAATTTGCTTTGTTACCTCTCCAAACTCATAAAGAATTAAACCTATGCAAAACCAGCCAGCTTTGGATGTTATCTTCCTTTATTCAGCTGGAGCCTTGAAATTCTATGGAAGTCTGTTATCAGTTCTTGCAAATATTCTGTTAGGTAAGCCTGTAATGTAACCAGTAAAAGATAACTAAAAGAGAGGATGACAATAGTTTTGTGACTCAGTCCAGGCCTAGGTCATCTCATGGGTTTAATGCATGTGTGCACAGGGGTCCTAACCACTAGGGGTGCACTGTGTGTAATTATTTAAACTGTGGTTTTGACATGACCAGCTGAACAGTGAAATAATGAACAGATTTCCATCATAATCTTAATGGGCCTCACTCACCAATATCTTCTTGAGTGTTTTCTTAAATTTATTCTTGAGAAAGGTCCTAAGAAAAAAGTTTGTGTCAGATTCATGACGCGTTCTTAAATCATAGAATTGTTCTCACCTTTGTGCTCTTGAGTGTGTGTAGATTCTGTTCTTACCTAAGGTCAAATCCCAAACAAGAAAACAGTTATGAACCAGAATTATCGTAAAAACTGCATAAGTGGGTTTCAAGAAGAAATTTCTTCTTAAGTACATTTGATAAATGAAGCCCAATGCTCTCAGCAACTTTCTTAAACATCCGCTTCATTTTCTTCTCTAATCTCAGGCACCATGCGTTCCAGTATCTTCTTTTACTATGCTCTAGCTTTCAGGGGTATTTTCAAGAGTGTGATAGCATGCCTGTTGTGGCAGTATGCTTTAGTTTAGGAAGCTTTAGGTTCTTAAGTTTGCTGCTTTTGTCTTTGTTGTATCTTTAAGTTGTCCAATTGTAATTGATACCATCTCCATTGGGGCAAATTTGCTTTTGAAGAGCGGACTCTTGCTTTATGCTGAAGTGTTGCTGCACTGTTTAATGTTAACCTGTGCTCTTGTTAAAGTGTGTAACTTTGTTTTGATCTTGTTTTCACCACAATAGCATATTGGAATATGCAGAATGATGTCTGTACTGCTGCCAGCAATAACCTGGCTTTATGCAGTAAACAGGACACAGCGTGTTTGGAAAATGTGTTGCTCATCAATATTCTGTAGTCTTTATTCAAAAAGAGGGTCAACAAGTTTACCTTCCATGTAAACAAAGACATATATGATAAATAATTTAACTTTACATAAAGCTATCATACCTAATACAAATATTAGTTTCAGGAGTTTTTTCTAGAACTGCTTAGATAACCTGAGTTGTGTTTTCAAGTATACAGATTAATTAGAACATTCAAAAATACTCTTTCAAAAATAAATAAATAGTAATCAAAATCATATATGAACTTATAGCATAACATAAAAAAAAATGTGTTGACCACCAATGAAAGTAGTCGGGTAGGGCCCCAACAAACTTCTATGGAAAACATATTGCTCATCAATATGCTGTTGTCTTTATTCAACCAGGGATGGTCAGCACAGTCACTTTCTGTCTAAACAGTAACAAATATATGATGAATAATTTAACTTTACATTAAGCTTAAATTATACCTAATATTAATATTTAACTTTAAAGGACTGTTTCAAGAAGCAACTTAGACAACCTGAGTTTAGTTTTGTACTATGCAGATTTCTCAGAACATTCAAAAATGCTCTCTTCAAAATAAATGAACAAATAAATAAATAGTGATAAAGCTTATATAGGGGTTGATGTGCCCAAATCTGTGGTTAGTATGTATAAGTGTAAGAATATTGAAAAGGTAGTTGAGCTGAATTAATATTTCTGAACCAGGTTAAACAAGTTTTAACTATCAATAAAGTTACTTAACCTTAGCCTAGCTAGTTGCTAGGCTAGCTTACCTGGCATAACCTGTACCAACAAAAAAGTGTGAGATATTCAAGGAGTTAATGAACTTCTTTATCAAATATATTGTAGTGTCAAATATACAGTAGTTGCGTTTTAAGTACATTACCACTTTTACGAGAATCCTAATTTTTTTAGCTAGCTATGGGATTCAATCTGTATGGAATTTACAAGGTCATGTAAGGTCATTTACATTCACTTCCCCAACACTGATTTTTTTGGAGCTTTTAAGACATGCATGTAAGAGGCTTTTACTTTACATATTGCTATTTACACACTAACTGTAGGTATTATTAGAGAAGCCTCTTAGTTATTGGAAAGAAAACAGCTGCTTGAAAAATTGCAATGAAACAATTTACTGTTTTGTTATGATTTTTTGAAAAGAAGTAATTTAACAGCAAATTTCAAAATTACTGTTTTAACTCTTATAATTCCTAATATATGTGTGCATATATACAATATTCAAAAAAAGAAGATATTGATTACAATAATATACTGCTGTCAATATGCTGTCTTTGTGTTGCATTTTGAACTATGTCATTACTGTAAACAAATGTTACAGTACGAGTGCTATAAATATTAATTACAGTAACTACCTGCCAACTCTGCCAACCTCTCTAGTTGCATGAAACCTTGCAAGGAACCAGTACTCTCTTCTATGATGTTATAGGTGATATGAAATAAAATCCTCTAAAATGCTGGAGTAGCCAGCCAATATGGGACCCCCTGAATAGGGGGTATTTCACACACTGGGTTCAGCCCAGTTTTATCTGATGATTACCTTATTATTTTCTCACCTTATTATGAGAATGACACACTGAGCAGGGTGCTAGCTTGTTACATGTTCATAAAACCATTAGAACAACTATCAGTGGTAACCTCAGTGAAGCAGATCTTGTACAGTTCCAGCAGCAAAGCCTCCCTACAGGATCCAGTCACAAGACTTCTCTCAAGACCACTTAACACTGTGGAGGAACTGTTCCAACGTTCCATTTTTCCTAACTGTTTAGTTTTCTCTTCTCTCATTTAATAAAAAAAAAATCATATTTTTGCACTTTTTATAGTGTTTAAATCAACAGGAATATACAATTAGCTCTATAAATATTTGGACACCATCAAAACTATTGTTATTTTAGCTGTCTTCCATGGCATATTGGAGCTGAAATTATATGATACATATTTCAGAACTCATAGAGACTCTCAGCTTAAATTTGAAAATGTTTATGAACAGTGTGAACAGTGTGTAACAGAACTGCAATCATTTCCATACATTGTCTCATTTTTAGAAGCTTAAATGTTATTGGGCAATTACCTGCTCAGCTGTGTCAATCCAATTGAGCATGTATTTCACTTTTTGAAGGCAAAACAGAAGGTAAAACTACCCAAGAACAAGCAGAAATCAAAGACAGCTGCAGTAAAGGCCTGGCAGAGCATCACTAGGGAAGAGAAAATAAAGCTGGTGATGTCTAAGGGTTCCAGACTTTAGGTAGTCATTGACTGCAAAGGATCTCCAACCAAGTATTAAAAGTTACAGTTTAACGTATGATTGTTAGTTCGAGTTCCAGTTACTTTCAAGCCCCTAAACTAGGGGGCTATGGATAAAAATGGCTCTAATTCTTACTCTGCTCACCTGATTTGGATGTAAATGCCCTCAAATTAAAGCTGAAAGTCTGCAATTTGACGTCAAATTCATTATATAATTTTAACTCCAGCTGAAGCTTAAATAACAGTAACTTTGTCAACGTCCAAATGTTGATGGACCTGATTGTATATCTAAGTTGTTTTGTTGCTTTCTTCAGTGATTTTACTGAACTCTTTCACATATGACATGTAACACACTGACTTCTCTCGTTTGGGGCCTGGAACAACTGGGATCAGTGATAAGGGTAAACTCTCTGGATATTAGAAACTTTGGAAGTAAACAGGATTTATGTCAAATATTATGCCATGATGGTTATAGAATCCAATTGGGAATGGTTTCTGACCTTTCCAAACTCATAAAGGATTGAACTCATGCCAAGCGTTCAGCCACGGTCATTGTCTTCCTTAATTCAACTGGTGCCACAAATTTCTACGGAAGTCTCTTATCACATCTTGCAAATTTTGTGTAAGTAATTTGCTCCAGAGATATCACTGGTAAGGTACACTTAAGGAGGCAGGAGACAAGATAGTTGCTGTATGACTGCATTTTTGGGCATATTTTCATATTCTTATCTACCCAGACCATCAAAAGTTCCTGAGCTTTGCATTTGCCAGCAGAGCCTTTGAATTTCAAAACCTTACACTTGGTATGTCTTTAGTTCCTGTCTTTACCTTCACAAAGTACACTTTGTCAAAAGGACCTTCATGAATTATTGGATGACTGAGAGCTTATTAGCCAATCAAAGGATCAGACTATAGCATATACAGCCGCAGTGGTAGATGAGTTATAGGAACTAGGCCTCTCTCAACCAGGAGGGGAGTTAGCTAGCCCCCGCCCAGCAGATCACATTGTTTACAGTTGGACTCTGGGATGATGGTGGCATGGTTAACCCTCCTGTAATGTTCAACTATAAGGAACCACAATAATGTTCCAGGGTCAAATTGACCCGATGCATGTTTAACTATCTGAAAGTAGTTAGAATATATACTTTTCTCCATTAACACTATCTTTAGCCCAATTCATATGAATTTAATCAATACTTAATAATTCATTCATTTTCCATGATGATGGGGACTATGATGGGGGCTAAATGAGCCGTAGGTATTATTTTAAACCTGCATCTTATTTTTTTCAACAATATTTAAACAGAAAACCTGAAAAAGAAAGAAAGAAAGTTTAGGGGTAAGGTTAGGGTTAGGATTAGAGTTAGGCTAGTAGTAGTTCTGGTTTGAGTAAGTCTCCAGGAAATGAATGGAAGTCTATGTAATGACCCCACAATTCTCAGAAACAAGATTGTGTGTGTGTGTGTGTGTGAGAGTGTGTGTGTGTGTGTGTGTGTAAGGCAATCACACTGTGTCTCAAATCCAAAACAGTTTTGGTCTAAATTAGAAATTTTTACCATTCGTAGCCTCCATTCATACTTTTGGGTCAAATTGCCCTGAATATTACGTGTGTAATATAAACATGCGAGGGGGTCGCAAACATGTTAAATTAGTCATTTTCCATTTTTCCATGTACATGTTCATTACACTAATTAAGTTCAGTAGAAAAAGCTCCAAAAGTTTTTTGTTTTTTTTTCCCCCCAAGTTTTTAAACTTTGAAACTAGTCAACATGACAGGTGGGTTAATATAACAAAGGAAGGCAACTCTAAGTCTGAATTTCAGAAGAGAAAGCATCTCATAGGGTTCCACAAACCCAGAGCCTTCTTGATCTGATGGTGGCAACCTGGGTCTTTTCCACCTGAGGCCCTTATTGCACCTAATGCCGCACTGAGTTATGCAGTTCCTATGTCTTGCAATCTCTACAATGTCCTCCTGCTTTCACAGATTGGGCACACTGCATGTCAGCTCCATGCAGATACATGAGCTGAGGAGCACCTGCCAAAAACTTGAGCTATGAAAGTGATAACAACCTTTATTAAGGAGGTTCACATTATTGGGCTCTAAGGTAAAATAACTTTGATGGACGAACATAAATGTTGTTAACCGTTAACCATTTTCTTACATTTTTAAAGAAATAATGGTGACCTACTGATGTTCCTTGGCTGTTTTTCAATACTAAAACCTGTATTCAAACACATACCACAAGTACTGTATCCTGGTAAATTTTGTGCTACACCAGCAGTATTTTTTATATCTTCATTAACTCCAATGAAGCTTATGTGTTCCAGCACATCTACATGTGGTATGACTGAGTGAAAGCTAATGTAAATTCTTTCTTGCTGCTTCATATTAGTATACTTGCCTCAGGACACAATACCATGGAAGGGAGTGCAGCTGCTTTTACACAGTACCTGATCTGTTGTGATCATCATTCTCCTCCAGTCTGTCCACCTCTTCACAGTGATCCTCGCATAGTTACCTTCTGAAGATTAAGTCATAAAAGTGGGTGGAACGCAGAGCCCATGAGTTTCCCCACCCAAACATCTCTTTTCAGTGACATCCATCTCAAATAAAAATGCTGACAGTCCACATATGAAGCCAGAAAACACAAATAGATTCTCAGATGAGAGGCTCTTAGCATTCGGTTTACTGAGAAAGGCTACATATTTAAAGCGTGATGTAACGTCTGTCACCAATTATTTAAGAGAAACGCATGAAGCACTGCAATAAATTTATTTAACAGCAGGGTGCGCCAGATGCATTCAAACAGTCATATTCTCACACATTTCACAGCATTTCTCTACCCTCAAATGACAAGTGCATGAAAGCGACTCTCAACTGATGACCATTACTGTCATTGACGGTGATCCAGGTTACTCTCTCTGTAGCTATCCTGGCCATCTCCACATGATGGTGATGAAAGGCCTCAATCTGGTCCTTCTTCTTCTTACAGGCATCATCTACAAGACAGATAATAGCTTATGCCACTCAATACTTTCCTAAACAGATAAAATAAAAAATTATCATATACATCAATCCAAGACTCTTTAGGATCCACATGTAACTTACTTGATTGAAATGAATATAATTTAATTTTACAGCAAAGCTTATTCTGTATCGATAACCTGTCTGGAAACTGTTTTAGGAGAACATATAGACCTTTTAACCAAGAATTTGGTCATGTAACTCAGATGTACTAGTTTCCTCGAGGTGATCATGAGCCAGTTTAAACATTTGGCCAAACTGAATCAAATAATTAATTATTCAATTTGAGACCTTCTTAAATTCTTTTTTTAAAGAGGCTTCCTGAAGTCATCTTGATATGGACCACCTTGGTTTCTGAGGTTTTCATGGGTAGGACCTCAGTAATGTCACACTGTGGTAGCTGAAGAGTATCAGATTATTATGATATGGTGTTGCATCCACTCATCAGCATGTAGAGGTGTTAATCTGATGGGCGTCTAAAGCCACAACTCATATTCCAAATAGTTGTGTTGAAGTATGATCTCCACATGGAGCTCTACCACTTTTATATGTCACCTACTTTCTGTAGTGCTCTCAGACTGCAACTATGACAGGATATGTTCTCTTCTTCATTCTCTTAATACATTCTCTTAATAATGAAATCTAACACATAAAATATAATGAATACAACACTTTGATAAAAAATGTTAAAAGTATGCATTTGTACATAATCCTGTCTGATACATTCATTTTATATCACCTTAACTGTGATCTCAGATAGATAGATAGATAGATAGATAGATAGATAGATAGATAGATAGAAACATGCACTCCTATGAATATAGAGCATGTAAAACAACACAGAAGAGCTTTAAATGAATTATGTAAACATAATTTTCAGTAATACTTTACATTAAGGGTCGCAAATTAATCAATAATTAAATGCCAATAAGTAATTATATACACATTATTTATATATTAATTAACAACTCACTAAGCATTAGTCACCGGTTTCTCAGTGAACTCCAGCCATTGCATGAACTGAACTTGTTCAATTTCAGCAGAAGCACATCTGATTTAGTTTCATAAGGGATTGATTAGGTAAACTCGGTATTGGATGGGAACTGCTAGACTTCCTTGAGGAGAGCTCTGGAAATGGTTAAGTTACCACCCTCACATACATTAAATCACAATGTTTTGTTCATTTGTTTATTCATTTATTTATATTTATTATAAAGTATATGATTTCTGAACACATACATGTACAGGTAAATAGCTGTAACAATGATGAACAGACTTGGAACAGGATCCAGGTGTGAGCCAACTATATCAACAGCAGAGGAAAAGAAAAAACTTATAGTTGAGAATCCAGTGCAGTTTAAAAAGGGGGAAATAGATCAGTCTGAGGCAACCAAAGAAAAACGAAATCCAAAATAAGCAAACCAGTAGACAGGCAGAAGGTCAAAAACACAAAGAACAGTGTATCACAAGGCTTAGATTCACAGAGTAGGTTCAAACAAGAGTTACAGAATACATATAGAAAGACTTGATTGCCAAGTTATGTCATATAAATCAGTCATCAAGGCTTTAAAGTGACAGTTCTGCTTCAGCCTAAGTGGCCTCTAGCATACAAATTACTTTCACTAAGGCTATTTTCAGACGGCCAGCCCAAATCTGATTTTTGGCACACCCAGATTGTATCCAGATTGATTTTTGATAGTCTGGATGTTGAAAAAAACCCACATCCCATTCTTGCGAATTGGATCCAAACCACATTTGGAGGTGGTTTGAAATGTGATTCCAATTGGATTTTTACAGATGCATCTCAGTCTGGATGCTCTGACCACTAAAATCAGCTTTCAAAGTGTCTGTTTTGTCTCTCGCAACTCAACAAACAACAAAAACGTCAAATCGAGAGTGACAGAGGTGCTGGGATATAACAGGAGTGCCAAAGACTCATGCTTATGACAGAGAATTTTGAAGAATTTGGAGGGTGAGATGATGCCCCTCCATCTCTCCTGCATCCACATTTGAAATCTGCATCATCAGCATAGCTACATAGTTACTGATGCCTACGTTGTTACCATAGCAACCCATGCAGAAACATTGGTGATGTGTGGATATTCTGATCTGATCATTTGCAAATAACAGTGCGGACAGTCATCTCAAAAGATCTGATTTAAGAAACAAATCATCTTTGCCTGCAGTCTGAACACAACCTAAGTCTTCAGATTTTCTCGCAGTGTAACTCTCCAGATCACTGTTACATAGAATGTTTTGGCAAATAAGATGCATTTGTACCGAGAACAAAAACAGTTCACAGCTACTGCACTGACATAACGGTAACACTTTACAATACTGATCCACTAATAAGCATGTCTTAATATGTAACACAGTAAATTAATGCATGGACTAATACATAACACATCAGGAAATAATTAAATATATTTGTTAATAAAGAACTAAATCAATCATGAATAACCATTAATAAAGGGAATCATTAATTATTAACAGAATTCTAACTCAGTCTGTGACTTATTGCATTTACACTTATTATATACCCTTTCTATAAGGCTTGTCTGATGGAGATGTCTGATTAACACAAATTATAGGCTAAAAACTAATATACTGATCTGCATGAAACTCAATGATGTTGCTGTCTAACAAAAGTTTGTTTTTTAATGACATATTCTTTACATTGTCCTTTTGATGCCCTTGGCATCGTGTGAACATTTCATGATTAAGGGATTTTTCGAAATTTCATTACAATTACATGACAAGGGACAACTGTGATGAAAGCATTAGTTAAGTATAAATACATGCTTATTTGTGGACCAGCATTGTAAAGTGTTACTGACTAAGCAATACAACAAGTACAACTATGTTAATTCTGTGGTCGGTCAGAATTTCAGGCAAGATTCCTGACACAAACGAAGCGATATTTCAGAGTACATGGAATGTCGTTCCAGTTCTTCTGATCTGAAAGTAGAGGAAAAAAGTATTGGAAATTAAATGGAATCTGTAGAAGTTTTGGAAGTTTAAAACAGGATGATACAGAATAAAAGGCTTCTAACTTCAACATACCAGCCCAGTTCATGTGCACACAGCACTCTCCATTAGAGAAATTGGGCTCGTTTGAGTTCCAGTTGGTGTAATCCAATTTGGAGCCATCAGACCAGATCCACATTTTTTCCTGAAAAGTCAAACAGTTGAATACTTAATAATGTGATATTCAAATATTATATGTAAACATGACATCAAGCCATAAGACGGAAACAAAGTCTTTCAGAGTGGATTGATGTGAAATGCCCTTTACTAGAGAAACTTACCAAGTCAGAATGTTCACAGTGGTGCTGATAGGAACCAGACGTCTGAAGCGTTTAATGTCCCTAAAAACTACCCCATAGAAATCCATTACACTTATGGAATAATACACGAGAGTTAGCGCTTGATGAGATGTGACTCTTAGAGAGAGAACCATGAGATGTTGGTATTGATGCTGATATCTCATGGTATAGTGTGATGTTGAGTTATTATTATTAGATTTTGAGAAAATTATTACATAAAAACAAGAAAGTTTATTAAAATGCCAGGAAGAAAAGTAGCTCATACATGAAGTATAGCATTGCCTTACAAAGACTTCAGGATGTCTTCACTGGACAACCTGACTAACATTAAGTTAAAACGAAAACAAACTACGGACATAAATTACATTATGATTTTTTTTTATTATTAAAATTGAAAAAAGTAGCATTACTGAGTCACGTGAAGAAAAACAGTCTAGCTAACAGGCTTCTAACAGAAAAACATGCAGCTTTCTTAACTATCCATATAATTCTATGTTACTGTAGATGCTTGTGCTAGTGAGAGTGCTGTATTGGTTTGATGATACAACCAGCGTTAGCTACTAAGTAAATGTAGCTGGAAAATAAGGTGGCTAATTAGCCAATTTGGCCACTTTAGGCTTGCATTTAAATAGGCACTAACAATGAACAAGAAAAGACAATTAATTTCATTAATCACAATTATTAATTTAACATTAATTTGTAAGCTAACAATTTGTGATTGTGACAGCTCTAGTATTACACTGTTCAAGATATGATAGCAACAAGATAATTCACTTATATCCTCAGAAGACAGGTCCTTCACTGAGTTTTGATTAAATTGTCTTTGAATTTTCTTTCTTTTTTTGCAATCTTCAGATTCATCCTCTTGGGGAAGGCTCCAAAGCACAACCCGCATTACAAAATGATCTTCCTCATATTGTAATAGCACACTTCCACCAGAGAGGTCTCCAAATCCCCAAAACTTACACAGTGCAGCTTTAAATGCAATTTCAGAAACTCACAGCAGATTTAAAAATGTTGGTATTATTAACAGATTTTCATTGTCAAGCTTGGTTATCTTGGCTATCTTGGTTAACATCTCCTTATCCATTTTTGGGTAGTTTCTAATAGATGATTGCGAATACACTGCATGATGCTTGAAACCTTACTTTACAATAGTTTTAAGATAAAGTTTAGACCTAAAATATACATTTTAAATCTTTTATTGGTGAGAGATACATGCAGGGAGCTCTAAGACCAAATAGTTTCCAAAGAAAATTCTTTTTTTTAGAGTTACCATTATTTTACCATCATCAACATTACATATAAAACTCCTGATTCCTGTCAGCACCATGGTAAAGAAATCTGAGTACATTTCTCTTCTATGAATGATTTCACATCAAACCAATCTGAATGACTTTACATCTTGGCTGTTGAATTATTTATAAATAAATTATTTTTAATAGTAATAATAGTTTTTCTTAATTTTTCATCTTAAAAAAAAACCTAAAAGATGTATTGAAGAAAATATGCTGCAGTAAAAATATCTCTTAAGATGTACTAGTGCCCTGCTGACCAGCTCTGAGCAGTTCAGAGGTTCAAAGGTTCAGGGATACAGTATACAGTGCTGTGAAAAAGTACCTGCCCCTGCCCAATTTCTTCAATTTTTTGCATATTTGTCACACTTTTATGTTTCAGATCGAGCTACTTTTAATATTAGACAAAGTCTAATCAGGACAACGATTTGAAGCACACAAGGAAGTCCAACTCTGAATTGCTCAAAAGAAACCAAATTAAGGTTTTGGAGTGGCCAAGTCAAAGTCCTGACCTGACCTTAAGTTAAATGACCCTTATTAGTCCCACAATGGGGAAATTTTACCCTCGCATTTAACCCATCTATGCACACCACATACACACTAGTGAATGCACACACACTAGGGGGCAGTGAGCACGGGCCAAAATTCCTCCACAGTAATGTAAAAAACTCATCACACGTTATTGCAAATGTTTAATTGAAGTTGTTGCTGCAGAGGGTGGCACAACAAGTTATTAGGTTTTGGGGGACAGATACTTTTTTCACATGGGTGATATAGGCTTTAAATATTTTTTTATCTTCAATAAACTAGATGATCAGTTAAAAGCTGCATTTGTGTTTACTCATGTTGTCTTTATCTTACATTAAAATTGATTGGATGATCTCAAACATTAAATGTGAAAATTTAGCAACTATAGAAAAATAGGTTGAGGGGGCAAATACTTTTTCACAGCACTGTAATGTAAAATGACGTGCATACAGTAAAGTGATCATTTCGAATGACATTTTACCATGATGTTAAAAAATCTCTGCTTATTATTAAAATAGTTGTTTTTCTCAATTGCAGTATCACGCCTTGTTGCAGTTTGTTTTGTATGCAATGTGCACAGGTTCTGAAATCCTGCTTTAACATTACTGTACCTCCTGACAGTCTGAGAGTCCGATCCACGTAGGATTCTCTTTAGGGTCTTGAGCGCGGATCAGGGCCTTGACCAGCTGGTTTTCATTTTCATTGTGTATTGAGACCAAATTGGCACCCAGACTTAAACAGTGAGCCTAGAAAGAGAATAAATATGTTAGCGGTGCATTTTCGTTTGATGCAGTCAGAATTAAGTTCTTGAGATCAATACATAGAATAAGAAGAGTCATGTGAGGTCTGGTGTTTTTTTTAGATTCTTTAGGTATATTAATATGTTCACACCTCTGTGATAACATTAATTTCTGCCATGTTTAATTTGAAGACTCTAACACACATTTGCATACACTTTACCTTGTTGCACTCCTTCAGGAGAAGCATAGAGCCACATTTGCAATTCTAACATCTGATTGGAATGCATTGGTCAGGCTACCACTCGTACTCTCAGCCAGTAACATATCTAGGACTTCCAGAACTCACGAAAGTGGACCTTCCTATTGTAAATCAAAACCTTACTGGTTGATTCCACTGTCAGTTTCTATTTATGTCAATGGTTAATTTATCCTGTTAGATCCTCAGGTCAGCCCCTAAAGTCCTAGCTAATAGGAGAGCTCACTTGGCTGTATCTAAATCGACAATTTTCCACTTTGTGTTTAAGAATTGGACCCTTTAAAGCTCTCTTATTGAGAGTAAAATCATGTTGTTACAGCAGTATCATTATCTCTGATCATGCCACCATATCTATGGCACTTATTTTCCCAGACAAGCCTTTTACTTCGAAATTGTGGCGTTTCAATTCCCTCCTGCTTTCACATAGTGTACAGCACCTGATAATATTCAGATATTTTTTAGCCTCAATAATACTCCAGATGTCTCCCCTTCTACTGTTTGGGAAGCTTTAAAGGCAGTGATTCAAGGTCGGAGCATTTCTTATTTGTATTTTCAAAATAGACAGCATAAAGAAAAACTACTAAAGTTGACCAATGAGATCACACAGCTACTAAGTTACTGTTAAGAAAAGAACAGCTCTGCAATCTGATTTTAATTTACTCTCCACTCACCATGCGGAACAAATGCTTTTACATTCACAGCTATTCTTTTTTGAACATGGCGATAAACCTAGTAAAATCTTAGCCTCCCAGCTTAAACAGCAAACCGCTCGAAATTTCGCATCGCAGATTCGTATGCAGTGTGGTACAACAGACGCTTTGGAAATTAATAATTGTTTTAAACACTTTTATTCTTCATTGTATAAATCCGATTCTACTCCCAACATACAGCAAATGGAGACATTTTTTGAAGGCCTTCCAATTCCTACTATTAGTACTTCAGCCAAGGCTGAATTACATTCAATTATAACTAAAGAGGAAATTATTTTAGCCATTCAAGCTATGCACAGCGGCAAGACCCCTGGTCCTGACGGCTTCCCTGCAGAGTTCTTCAAAAAATCTTTGAGTGAACTTGCTCCCGCACTATTGGAAATGTTTAATGATTCTTTGGAGCAGGGTGTCCTCCCTACTACTCTATGACAAGCGACCATTTCACTGATTTTGAAGAAAGATAAAGACCCTCTTGACTGTGGTGCGGACCGCCCTATTAGTCTTCTTAATGTAGATGTTAAAATCCTATCAAAAGTGCTGGCTAAATGGCTTGAAATGGTGTTAGGTAGCATAATACATACAGATCAAACAGGGTTTGTCAGTCATTGACTGTCTTTTTTCAACATTAGGAGGGTTATGAATATTATTTATTCTTCGACCCCATCCCCGCCCTCTGAAGTTTTACTCTTGTTAGATGCTGAAAAAGCGTTTGACCATGTGGAATGGAATTACATCTTTTACACACTGCATAAGTGGCCCTGTATATATATATATATATTGGATTAAGCTTTTGTAAACGTCCCCCTTAGCTTTGGTGCGCACCAATGGGCTCTGTTCTAGTTTTTTCCCTCTTTTTCGTGGGACTTATCAGGGTGATCCCCTTTCACCTTTGATCTTCGCTATCGTGATATAACCTTTAACAATCGTTATTTGTACGGATCCTGGGATTCGTGGGATTAGTTGTAGAGGACTTGAACATAAAATTTCCCTTTATGTGGTTTTATTTATGATTGAACCTGAGATCTCTTTGTTCTTCATGTCATTAATATCTACAGTTCATTCTCAGGTTATAAATTAAACACTGCTGAAAGTGAATTATTCCCAATTAATATTACAGCTAATGATCTACCTCAGAGCGCCTTGTCCTTCCATATTATCTCACACAGCTTCAAATATCTTGGTGTTATCCTGACCACTAAATATTCCCAACTTTTTAAATGTAACTTTCTATCATTATTCTCGTGTCAAGGAAGATCTATCCCGCTGGTCCTCCCTCCCCCTGTGCTTAATTGGCCGAGTAAGTTCAGCTAAAATGAATATACTCCCCACGTTCCCTTGTTTTTGCCCAAATCGTTTTTTAAAACTCTCGACCAATATATATCTGACCTTATTTGGAAGAGTAAGCCCCCCAAAATTTGCAAAGTGCTTACTCAAAGCCCTAAGCAAGTAGGTGGCCTTGCATCTCCAAACCTCCTATTTTATTACTGGGCGTCAAATATCCATAGTATTTTATTTTAGGTGTGAAGGCCACTACGGGCTGAGCGACTGGGTTCCTGCATGGACAGTGGTGGAGATGTTGCAAGATCTAGCTCTTTGATGGCCGTATTATGTGCTCCCCTGGCATCAAGCTTTAATCGATCTTCTGCTAACCCAATATTAAATGCTTCAGCACATATTTGGCGCCAGTTTCAGCATCATTTTGGTCTTCAATCTCCATCTATAAACATGCCAGTTACAGCCAATCCCTTATTTCCGCCTTCGATGATAGATTCCGCTTTTCTTAGCTGGCACAGAGCTGGTATTAAGAAGATCAAAGATATGTATGCTGATAACACATTCTGTACTTTCTCACAGCTTGGTAATCGATTTCCTCTTCTTAAATCTCATTTTTTTAGATTCTTGCAAATTCGGGCTTACAGACTTCCCTAGCGCTCCCTCAAAATCACCCCTTGATGATATTCTGGAAATAGATGCTAATGCCAGAAGCATTATTTCTAAACAATATAACCTCATATTCTCTTTAGCCCCTACCCCTGGTACTGTTATTGAACAGCAATGGGGAAAAAGAACGACAGTTCACTTTTGAGGAAGACGAGTGGGACAAGATAATTCGGCGTATCCATAGCTCTTCAATCTGTGCTAAACATAGTCTTATTCGGTTGATGTTGGTTCATCAAACTTACTGGACAAAGGTTAAACTTAAACTTAAAATCTTGATGATCTTGATGATCGATGTTCCCAAGCTGCAGCTACCTTGTCTCATATGTTTTGGTTTTGCCCTCCTTTAAAATCCTTTTGGCAGTCTGTGTTTGGCTGCTTCTCCTTTATTCTCGATTCAAAAATTGACAGATTCACTCTGTTTGGGTTATTGCCCAAAGATTCTACTATGTAATAACTGCATATCATTTTGATTCAGTGGAAAAGTCCCACTCCACCTTCATTTGAACGCTGGCTTAAAGATGTTGCCTCATTTCTGTACTTGGAAAAAATTAGGCACACGCTTAAAGGCGACACACGTCAGTTCTTCGCGTATGGGGCCCCTTTTTCTCCTTCTTCTACAAGTTCAAGCAGTTTGACGTTCCCAGTATATCACGGTAATTAATTTAATTGTTTTTTTTTTGTTTTTGTTGGTAAATATATGGTTGTGCATATGTTTGTATATATATATACATATATATATATATATATATATATATGTGTATGTAAGTATACCTGTGGGTATGTATGTATGTGGGCGGGTGGGATGAGTTTAGTTGGATTGAGAGATTTAGGATGGCTTATTTGGTTGATTGTCAGGAATAACCAAACAAAATCTATGCATGTATCCAGCTTTGTAAGCCTTTTCCTTCCTCCTTGCCCAATAAACAGAATGGTCCAAAAGAATTGGACCCTTTGGTTTCCACATGAAAGTTAACACCAAAATTGCTACAATAGTTGCAGAGTTTAAATACAACAAGCATAATGATTATATTAAATAGAAATGAATTAAACATTTCACACATTTCTTTATTTCACAGAAACAGAAAGGCCTTCTGGGGCATAGAAGGCACTGAGGGTTCCCCACTGATTCTAATATGTTAGTTTTAGAAAGCCAAGACTAGGAACTCATGCTGCAGTTGTATGTAAAAGTTTGAGCGCCCCAGTCTAATTCAATATTTTGTGAAAGTATGTTAACACATCATCTACAGTTTTTTTTCTCCAATATGTTAAATTCAAAGAAAAAAAGTAATTGAGCGTTAAAAAAATCATGAATTGTGTCTTTAAACAGGAATTCAGAAGCAGGATTTGTGCTTATTTTCTGCATAATTAAATGGTTAAAATGTAAACAAAAGCCATTGAGAGTGGTTTGATGTATAATGTTCCATTCTAGAGAAACCTAGAGTGAGATTTGTTCACAGTGGGGGTGATAGGAACCAGACATCTTAAATATGAAAAACTTGATGCCTCAAAGAAAGTTATTACATGAAATGGTCACAAATGAGCTGCCTGATCCCTGAAGCCAGTAGTGTGGCGATGTCTAGATAGGTGTGTGTACAGTCATATGCAACAGTTTGGGCACCCCTGGTAAAATTACATGTAATACTAGCTATCAGACAGCTAATATGTTTCAATATATTAAGATTAAAATTAAGTGTAAATACATTAACACATCCTATATAAAGAATACACTTCTGCACATTTTATTGCACAATTACTGTTTAATTGCTACATTTAAGACATAGAAAATAATAATAATAATTGTGCACTAAATAACTATGAAATTGTGACTATAATTTGTAGAAAAATGCAAAGTTTGTAGAGAACATGTTACCATATTTTCACTAGGGATATTGACAAAATATGTCATTTATGCAGGAGTGTTTAATACAATGCACATTTTTGGGACCTTAAGCCCAACATGTCTGCATTTGTCTACACACAGTGAACACACACCATTTCTCCATTTACTCTGTAACTAAAGGTGCTCAATATGGTATAAAACTCTTAGTATAACCTTAATAAGCAAATAAACAAACGTAATACTGAAAATTGCTTATTTTTCATAAGTTCATTCATTTATACTCATTCAAATGTGGAAGCTGAAAAATCATCAAATCAGTTAAAGATGGGAGAATTAAATCATAGATCTCAAAACTGATTTGTGGGGTTGGATTGGGGCTGTTGGTCTTACTGTTGTCATCATTATTTCATACATTTAAATAACGTGCTTTGATGTGTTCATTCCTACACCAGTGCTACATATTATCAGCTAGCTAGTACTATATTGCTGTCATGATGGCAGAAAAAAGAGTGACAGCAGAAAATATCGCAACACATAAAGGTGCACACTGGTTATATGACTAATGATTGGACGAAGGTGAAGTCTTTGCTGGTCATGGTCAAATCAAAGTCCAGTATCCTATCTCTTATCTTTAGATGTGTTGACAGTAAATCAGCCTCCTCAGACATATATACCGTCATATACCTGCGTATATGCACTACAACTGCCTGAGACTATTTTTTATACTACTTTTAAGATGAAGAGTAGAGATATACACAGAATAGAACACTTTTTAACCTCTATTTTACCATTAGCAACATTACATATAAAATAAAATGGTTATATTTGTGTTGTAGACATTGTGACCCCTGGTTTCTATCACCACCACTGTAAAGAAATTTGAGTCAGTAAGATTTTCTACAATAAATTACTTCATCAAACCACTCTGAATGACTTTGTTTACATCTCAGTGATTGAATTATGCAGAAATCTAAAAAAAAAAAAAAATGATGGCATTCTCCTTAGATATAGATAAGGCTGTGCACTGTACGGTGATTAAATGTCAGAGGCTAAGATGTTAGAAGCTAAGCAGATTTCACATCCTGTTAAAACGGTTGTGGTTTTCACAGCCTGCATTAGAGATAAGCATCTGTTCCACTGGAGGTGCGAGGAGAATGTGAGATGATGTAATTTTAGTCTTGGTTTTGGTTGTGAAACATTTGCCAATTTTTTTTTTTTTGCCTCCTGACCATCTTCTTTCCTGTGCAACACAAAATGTGATCGAATCTGTTACTGCTGTAGTTTATAGTGGAAACTCTTAATACACTCTTAATACATTTTGATCTGTTCTCTGAAAGGAAGGAATGATAGAGGCATTGAAACAGTTAATGTGATGGCTTCTTTGAAAGGATATAAGACCTTACCTCAGCAGAGATCCAGGCCCTGCCTTGGTCAAAATACTTGAAGCAGCGCCTGGCGTAGGTCACCCATCCTGATGGACAAGGTGAGCATGAAGGGTTATGCACAGAAAAATACTCTGTTTCGGGGTCTCTGTCTTGCATGGACTCTAAAAGGAAAAAAGAAACACCAATAAGCTTCTAAAAAGTACAAGAAACTGTTTAGATGCTGACTTTACTGGAGATTTTTGGTGATTTTTTGAATCACAGCACTGAAACGCACAGCTCTTCTCTTTACCTTTCACTAATTCATCCCAGTTTGATACTAAAAACAAACAGAAAAACAGTGTTAACGCTCTTCAGAACGTGACTACGGTGATTAACTGTGTCAAGAAGTGCTTAATGTCCATCATTACCTGGTGCAGGTGTCACAACCAGAGCTTAAAGAAGAGAAGATGTGATCATAAAATGTTATCATTCATTATCATTTAGAATTTGTGTTATGTTGAACTGATACTTTAAGATATGTAACTTACCCAAAGCTGTAGAAGTCATGGAGATGACCGAAAGCAATTCAATTAGATGAACCATACTTGCTGTTTGATTTGTGGTTGGAACAATTTGCAGGTTAGAGCCCAGAATGAACTTCAATGTTAGAATTGTTAGAAAGACTAGATCCACCCTTGATTTCTGCTGGTCTCCACCCTCTAAGCATACTTGCCAATTGCGTGTTTGTTGGAGGGAGGTGTCACATATTTGTTTGTGAGTAGTAGTTTGATGGGAGGAGAGGGAGAGATATAGAGTCCACAATTTAGCCCCATACAGTTCACACATTATTTGGTTACTCCTGAACAGTGGACAGTGATGACTCTCAATGGTTTGGCAATGGGGACATGTGATATGAGATGATAATGGACTACAAGGCCACAGAAGCCCTGAAGCATATCAGTTTGAACTTCTAACCACACCAGCACTTTCTGTCCTTAAAACTGCACCAAAAACACCTTAAATCATACTAGGCATACCCTCGAAAAGACTGATTTTGTTTAACCAAACTTGTAACTTACAAAGTAAAAAAAAAAACAAAAAAAAAACGGCATGAGTATCTACTAGAGTAATTCTTAAGCTGGCATCGGGAGTTTTAAACCATGTTTGGGAAAATACATGTACTCTATCAGATTAGTGCTAATATAACGCTGCAAATCCCCTAAGAGGCATTACATCACTGTTATTCTTGTAATGCTGTCACCACAGCAACTGGATGCATGCCACCATTCTTTAACCACTGTAACTGATTACAGTGTGTATGAGGCACAGAACCATGTTTTTTTCAACACCAACATGTAAATGCAAGACCAAGGGACTGAGCAAACACAGGGGTATAAATACTAACAGAAAACGAGAAACACCTGAGACCAATGAAAGGGCGGGGCTAAGTGACAAAGAACAGGTGAAGATAGCGCAGGGCAGGGGAGGAGCCATTAGACAACAAAAGCACGTCAAAAAAAAACAAAAGCACATGGCAGATAAACAAAAACGCACAGCACTAGGAAACCAAGAAAAAGGCACACACAGAAAGACCAGGACAAAGAGTGAACGGATGTTACAATAGCACCTTAAAGTGTTGTTGTATACTTTGGGTCAGTTTTGTTGAGTCAGTTCCTTATAAGATGAAGGCAAGCAATGCAGTTTTATATTTACCAGTGTTTTTTTGTGGAAACCCCCGATGTTCAAGACAAAGTAGTTAAACTAAGCACTAAGTGGGATCACTTTTCATCAACAGAATAAACTGGGGTGTCTGCAGTTCTTGGGAAAATTGCCTACACTCTGCTAGAAATATAATGTATGTTCAAACCATCGTAGTGCTCTGATCCACTGCAACAAAATAAAACCCAAACCTTGATTTGTTTTTAGGCTGTAATTTAATTGGCATACTGATTGGTGCTTACATGGTGAAGGCAGAATAAATATACCAATACAAGTGCAAAGCAACTGACTGAAAAATAGGGGTTTTACATTTCATTGCAGAACCACAGCCAATTGCAAAAACAGGACTGTTTGCTCAGTGCGTAAAGGCTACATTCTATCCAGCCTATTTTTTTTCAATAATTGTGTTAGTTGTGCTAGATTTGAAGCACCTAGTGTGCCTGGACTGAGTTGCATCACTTTGTCATAAGTTTGTACATAGTTTGTAGTGTTTAAGTGAACTTTAGTTAGTTTCAGACTCTCCTGTAACTAAATCCAGTTGCACCGCAAATCCTTAAGTCATGTCTTAGTTAGTAACAACTAACTAATGCGCACATTCCTTTAACATAATGATAACATATTCAGAACTGATAAACACATTGCCATAGAAAACTGGATGAAAACTGGATGGAATCACCAAGCTTAAGTTTTCCAGTGAACTGTTTTATTTGTATTATTTATACTTAATAACACACATACATATATTACATTAAGTTGTCATTGTTTGGCATTGTAAATGTATTGTTGCCAGTTAATAAAGTTGTTCTGAACAGGAAAGAATGGATTGAGGCTGTTACAATCCCTGGTGGGCCACTTTACACAAACAAAGGGATAGCTTGATTCACAACGAATGTCGTTCCAGTCTTTTTTGTCTGCAGGTAAAAAAAGAGACCTTTTAACAGATGACAAAATTAACGAAGCCATACAAATTCAGAACAATTTCAACCCATAAAAATCTCCACTTACCAGACCAATTCATATGCACACAGCACTCTTCTTCAGAACTGGGTTCATTTGGGTTCCATTTGGTGAAAGTTAATTTGGTACCATCAGACCACATCCAGTTATTCCTCTGAAAATGTACAGTGTACAGTCTATTATCAAACTGTGCAGATTCCAGTGTCTGCATAAAACATGACTGTACCATGTATAACAGTTTTGCTTTCCCTGCTTTCACATATAGAGCTCAAAGATCATGTTTTGAAAAATATACGCCCACTTTGAATTTGATGCCAACAACATGTTTAAAAAAAGTTGGGACGGGGGCATGTTTACCACTGTGTTGCATCACCTCCTCTTTTAACAACACTCTGTAAGCATTTCGGAACTAAGGAGACCAATTGCTGTAGGTTTTGAAAGTGAAATGTTCTCCCATTCTTGCTTGATATAGAATTTCAGCTGCTCAACAGTTTGGGGTCTCCTTTGTCCTTTTCATCATTTTTGCCACGTTTTCGGTGGGTGACAGGTCTGGACTGCAGGCAGGCCAATTTGGCACCTGGACTCTCTTACTACAGAGCCATGCTTTTGTAATATGTGCAGAATGTAGTTTCACACAGTCTTGGTGAAATAAGCAAGGCTTTCTTTGAAGAAGACGTCATCTGGATGGCAGCATATGTTGCCAAAACCTGTATATATCATTCAGCATTAATGGTGCCTTCACAGATGTGCAAGTCACCCATGCCATGTGCACTAATGTACCCATATACTATTATGGATGCTGCCTTTCGAACTGTGCACTGATAACAAGCCGGATGGTTCCTTTTTTGTTTCGTCTGACCACTGGACACTTTTTCAACTTCACTTCAGTGTATCTTAAATGAGCTTGTGCCCAGAGAATGTGGCAGCGTTTCTAGATCAATGCCCATGCAGTGATTTTCACTAGAGAATCATGTCTAGCCAATCATGGCTAGCCAATATTGGTTTTTGGCTTTGTCCCTTGCATACAGGTACTGGACACATATTAACTGTTCTCTTACCTTCTGACAGCAGGAAAGGCCAATCCATACAGGTTTCTCTGCAGGGTCATGAGCACGAATAAGGGCTTTGATCAACTGGTATTCAGTTTCACTGTGTATTGAGACCAAGTTAGCATCCTGATTTAGACAGTAATTCTAGAAAGAGAAAGAAAAGGTTAGTAGTAATTGCTAGAAGGGAAAAGCTTGTAAACAAAGTTGGCATCACAAAGTTGTTGCTGTGGAACCAAGGGTGGTTGCCAAGTTGTTGCTAGGCCTTTGCTATGTTATCCCAGGTGGTTGCTAAGGTGTTGATAGGCTGTTACTATGGTATTCCAGGTCTCTCTGTAATCAAACATGCAGTCAGCCATTGTTTTTTAGGTACTGATGAAATCCAAGATATTATCAGAAAAAACTGAGCAAATAAATGTGATTAATCATAGATGACCAAACAAATGTATTCAATCAATCACAGTTACATTATAATTGTTAATAGTCATATATTTCACTTGTTTGTCAGCCCTGTTTATTGCATGTTGCTATGCTACAGTATAAGGGAACTTCAGACAGTAAACAAGGGGTAGGCAACGTGGCAAACGTGGCATCACTATACTTGAAGACATTATCTTGATGCATGATATACACTACGATATTTATATTGTTTTCTGAGGTTTGATAAATTGGAACAGAGAAAAACAGTGCCATGTTAAAAAAAATCATATTCTTCTACACTAAATCCAGTTAATTATAGGAAATGGTTCTGTTTAGAGCCATGAGTTCTATATAGAACCATTTCCATGCTTAAACAATTCTTTGTGATCTTTTTACATTGAATGTTAATAATTTACCACATACATTTATGAAGCTATTTACCTATAACCCTGTTTCCAAGTTGGGATATTGTGCAAAGTATAAATAAAAACAAAATGTAATGATGGAGTCTATCTCAGTCATTGGGCGGATGAAAGAAACACCCTGGACAGGATGCTGGCTTTTGAACTGTGCGCTGATAACGAACAGGGTGGTCTTTAGCCTGGAGGATGCGATGTCCATTATTTTCAAAAACAATTTAAAATTTTGTCTCGTCAGACCACAGAACACCTTTCCACTTCACCTCAGTCCTTCTTAAATGAGCTTGGGCCCAGAAAAAGTGGCAGTGTTTCTGGATCCTGTTTATGTATGGTTTCTTTTTCGCAGAGTAGCATTTGTGGACACAGTGATGAACTGTGTTCACAGACAGTAGTTTTCAGAAGTGTTTCTGAGCCTATGCAGTGATTTCCACAACAGAATCATATCTGTTTTTAATGCAGTACCATCTCAGGGCCCAAATATCCCAGCCAGCAAATACTGGTTTTCGGCCTTGTCCCTTGCATACAGAGATTTCTTCAGATTCTCTGAATCTTGTAATGATATTTCGTCCAGTAGATGATGAAATCCCCAAGTTCTTTGCTATTTTACATTGAGAATTGTTGTTTTTGAACTGTTGCCTGATCTGCCTGAACAGTCTTTCTCAGAGTGGTGAACCCCTCCCCTCCTCATCTTTACTTCTGACTTTTTATACCCAATCATGCTACTGAACTGTTGACAATTTCTCAGTTTCAACATTTGATATTTTATCTTTGTACTATTGTCACTGTTAAATAGGGTTTAAATGATTTTCACATATTTGTATTTTGTATGCACAATTTGTTTTGCAATTTTTTTTTCTTTTTGTTAAATAAATGTCAGGGTTAGTACAAAAGTTTGCTGCACCAGTCTAGGGTTACCTGCTAGTATGCTGTCGTGGCATTAAGCTTATTTGTCCTATAAAAACATACTGTGATGTAATACGGCACAATTTGTCATGATTACGATAAATACTGTCATTCTGTCATATTGCCTCTACGGTAAACCTGAACAAAGGTCAATGAACCTGAACACAACCTCGGCAGAAGCCCAGTCCATGCTGCTGGCATGATAGCTGAAGCAGCGTCCATCCAGCTTCACCCAGCCAAGCGGGCAGTCATGTTGTGTAGTAGCGTCCCTTTTCCGTTTGGCTTCTGGCAAGGATGAAGAAAAGCTATTTAGAAATGCTGCACTATACAATGGATAGTTCAGATCTCAAGTCATCAGACGGTTAAACAGCATTAATGAGAGATTCTTTGGACATATTGTTGATCTTTTATTTACCTTCTATTATGGCCTCAAAATCAGCTAGAAAAGCAAACATAACAGTACTAGTGAGTATTGAAAATGGCTTTACTGATGGTTGATGAAATGGTTTTACTGATAAGTGTCAAATCATGTATAACTTCATCATTTACCTGATACAGGCCTCACCACACGCGCTTCAAGGGGAAGAAATGGGAACATGTCATTCATCAGATTCTGTTCATGCATTATTTTGCAGGCTTTTGATTACAGTGTTACATGAGAGACACTGGCAAGAATTTATTACTGCATGTTCTGCTATACAAATTTGTAAAAAACCATACAAGAGTAATCAACAGGTTGTGGTAATATCAGTTATGCACGTTTTAGGGAAATTTCCCACCCCTACACACCTGAAACATGTTATTCATAGATATCCTGCTCGAGTCACGAAACAGACAGAGAGCAAACTCTTACCCAACGCTGTTGCTGCCGTGGAGACAATAAAAAGTAATGTCACTTTAGTAAGACCAGCCATCATTGCTCTGTTCTTCATGTGCTGAAAGAAATAAAGAGGCAAGCAAGTTCAGTGAGTTACAGCTGACTTACAACTTAACGCTGAATAAATATTACAAGGGCTCTGTTTTTTCTGTGTGAAGCGCTGAGGTAAATGGTGTACTTTTATATTGTGTGGACATAGGAATCTCCCCAAATAATCTGAACTTCAACCTTGGGAAATGTAGTTATGATTATCTTTTTCACAAAATGTCTTCTTAGAAAACGATCACAGGGAAAGCCCTTGTGGGTCAGTGAGAACAAGGACTCTGTAAGTAGGCTCATGCACAGCCGTGCCAAACCATGACTAGAAATGGCTTTACTGATGGTTGGTGACATTATTTGAAGTCAAATTGTTGAGTGAAGTGTTAGGCCTATAATTCAGCCAGAAATGTTAAAACCTGGTCATAAATAAATAAATAAATAAATAAATAAATGAAAGAGGGGAAAACGTTATGGTACTTTACACCTATGTTATTGTTGGTTTCTACTAACATTCTAGTAGTATGTTAGTGCTAAACTAATGGTGAACATTTTTTTTTTGCCATGCTAGAATAAACATGGATTTTTAAATAAAAATTATTTGAGATCTGGTATTTCGAATACCTGACTGAACAGGATCGGTCAGGCTACCACTCGCATACACAGTAACACATCTAAGACTTAAGTTTTTTTCTCATAAAACTGGTCCCACCCATTGTAAAGCATGATTGGTTCACTGTCACTTCCTAATTATGTTAGTTGTTAATATGACACTTTAGACGTTCAGTTTAGCTCCTGAAATCTTTACTGAGGGAAGAGCTCGCTTGGCTGTATCTACCTAAACACCACAGAGAAAAAAAAAATTTGTGTTGGGTATCTCAAAAATTAAATTCTTCTGTTTAAAATGATGAATGAATGATGAAATAAGATAAGAGTTTTACTAAAGTATACATTTTATACTTTGTATTTCCAGAGCTTAAATATAAGTATGATTATTCTATTAAATAAAAAAAGAAAAAAAAATTACAGGCTTTTTTTGCCACAGAAAACAATATGCCTTCTCTGAAGGCCTAGAAGACCCTGAGGACTCCCCACTGGTCCACAGACTCTAGACAGGGCCTGAGCCCCACTCCTTGTGCCACGATCAGCGTGAATATTGATTTTATTTGTGTGGCCATACTTCAAGGTCTGTTTCAGTGAAGGTCAGCTCAGCCTTGCCCTGAGAATAGACCTAATGGATAAGCTTAGTTTCCATGAGCTTAATTGCTCTTGGGCATCTCCACTGGTGCAGTACCAACCACCTGGGGAAATCCCACCTCAGTAAAAGATGCACTCATCACAACAGCACTGGAAATTCTCTTTAAGAAAGAGCCACATTGCATAGCAACACATAATCAGCATCTAAACAAAATTTTAGCAGTAAAGGTGCGGATAAGTTGCTAAACCACGTTGTTCTCATTGTAAGAGACAGAACTGGGTTCTGTGAAGCTCTTAAATAGAGTTATAACTCATGAGTTTGTAGTACTGAGACAGCCCAGATGGTACTGTTAGTTGCCCTGTACTCTGGAGATGAAGGTTCAAATACCTGTTAGGGTAGTAATGCTAGTATTTTTGACTGCCTTGATAAAGCTCTTGATACAATGTTTGATTTCTTCTGACCTGATAAGAGTGTCAGCAATAGACTGTGGATTAATTTAGGTTTAATTCATGTCCATGTTGCCCCTTTTTCTCCCTTGAGCTCCCTTCCCTCCAGTAGGGAAGTTTGACTTGCATAGGGGCCAATGTAGGCTGCTGAACCTTCTTGGGTTGTAGCCAAGTGGACAGTTCTTTGCCCACTGGACTTTCTGCACCTGTGGGAAATCACGGTGTTCTATTTCACATTTGTTTATTTGGCATGACTGAACGATATTTGTGGCACTGACACATTTCACCTCAACATTTGCCAAACAACTTGTCCTCCCACAAGGATTTCTAAAGTGTTGTTTTTGTAGTAAATGATTTAACAAGTTCAGTGTCCTCCAAAAGTTTTGCAGTAGTGAAGTTTTTTAGTCATTTAATCAGGCAATCTAGAATTAGAGAACAAGATTAAATTTAGCGCAAATTTACAATGACAGTTCAAAATTCATGCTCATGCATTTCAGGTGCAGCGGCATAAGGGAAAAACTACTAGACATGTAGGAGTTATCAGGGTTTTAAAGAGGTCCACAGTGTCTCAAAAGATTACGAAAAACCTAGTGTAGCAAGTTATTATTGTCCCCTACTGTCTGCTTTATGTTTGGGAGTTGCTCATAGTAACCACAGAGTGGAATGTTCTTTCATAAAGAGAAAAAAATGGGCATTTTTTGTTAGGATTTCCAATGTGGTGGTGATGTGTGCACTTTTGAAAGGTTGGAGTTGAAAAGTAGAGTGATGAAGTTTGTGGATTCCAAACCAACCCACTCAGTTAACTGTCACAAGGTTGGGGAAAAAATACTTAAATACTGAATACATTGTCCAAAATGTTTTCAGTAATGTATTCCATTACAATATATAAAAACGTAACCTATTCAGATTTCATTTAGAATACATTTAGAATGCATACTGATAAAGTACATACTGCTGTAATTTTTATTTAATTCACAGTGTTCCTTGCTGTTACTGGTTGGCAGTTTAGTTAATTCTTCTGATATGTTTCACGAAAATTCAGTCATTTAAATACAAAAATGAATGCAAAATTCTCGATGTTGTTTTGGCTTTTATTGTGAGCTTTAGTCCACTGCTGCTCTCAAAATCCCATTGCTCTTTAATGTCCTAAGCCAACAATTTGCACATATCCAATAACAATATCTTGCAAATTTGACAGTGATTTTCATTTAATGAGGTGTGTGCAACTTGCCACGAACCGCATGTACAAGTCCAGTACAACATTGATGCTAAACTTCTCACGTGAACATATTCACAACTAAGAAGGCTGCTCAGTTCAGTCATCCCTCAAAAAATTTAGTAACACTCAGATTACTAATTGGGTCATCATAGTGATTTATCAGTCTACTCAAGCTTTAGCAGGAGCTTCATATATATGAATTTGGTAAGTATTTTATATATATATATATATATATATGCAGCCCCATTTCCAAAAATGTTGGGATGTTGTGCAAAATATAAATAAAAACAGAATTTAATTATGTGCAAATCGTTTCAACTCTATATTTAATTGAAAATACTAAGACAAAATATCAAATATTGAAAGTGAGAAATTTTATTCTTTTTGAAAAATATATACCAAATTTGGATTTGATGCCAGCAACATGTTTCAGAAACATTAGGGCAGGGCAACAAAAGACTGGCAAAGTTTTATAATGATTAAATAAAACATCTGGTCATTAATTGGCGACAGGTCAGCAACATAATTAGGTATAAATAGAGCATCAGAGACTTTGAGTCTTTCAGAAGTGAAGGTGGAGAGAGGTCCACCACTCTGTTAAACACTGCATGGGCAAATAGTGCAACAATTCAAGAATAACGTTTCTCAATGTAAAATAGCAAAGACCTTGGGGATTTCATCATCTGCAGTACATAATATCATTAAAAGATTCAGAGAATCTGGAGAAATCTCTGCAGTCGAGGTACAGGCAGTGATCTTCGTGGACACTGTGTCCTCTGGGCTAAAGACTATATGGCTTGTCATCAGTGCACAGTTCAAAAGCCAGCATCCGTGATGATACAGGGGTACATAAGTGCACATGGCATGGGTGACTTGCACATCTATAAAGGCACCATTAATGCTGAGCAATATATACAGGTTTTGGCAGCATATGCTGCCATCCAGACAACGTCTTTTTCAGGGAAGGCCTTGCTTATTTTAGGCAAACAATGTCAAATCACATTCTGCGTGTATTACAATAGCATGGCTCCATGATAAAAGTCCAGGTGCTAAACTGACCTGCCTGCAGTCCAGACCTGTCACCCATTAAAACATTTGGCGCAATATGAAATGAAATACAACAAATGAGCCCTCGAACTGTTGAGCAGCTGAAATCCTATATCAATCAAGAATAGGAAAACATTTTACTTTCAAAACTACAGCAGTCGGTCTCCTCAGTTCCCAAACAGAGTGTTAGTAAAAGAAAAGGTGAGGCATCACAATGGTAAACATGCCCCCATCCCAACGTTTTTGAAATGTGTTTCAATGATAGCTTTACATTAACTATGTACTTTACTGACATTAGCATACTTTCCAAAGATTCACTGCCTCCACTTCAACACTAACATTCTCCCTTTGCTTCTACCTCTCAGTTTCCTAATGTTTATTTTATCGTTATCATTTGTTTTTAGAATTTGTGTTACATTTTCATTTGTATTACAATTTCATATTTCCTTTCTTATGTAATTACTTTGTGTTCTATATTTTCTGTTCTTTTTTATGTTGGTTTTTGTTTGCATTTTAAGTGTGCTGTATTAAGTTCTTCTTCTTCTTCTTCTTCTTCTTCTTCTTCTTATTATTATTATTATTATTATTATTATATTTCTTTGCCAGAAACTGACCTTGCTGACTTTTGGAAAGACAATAGCATGCCTGTCTTTTCCTTGAGGATCCATGCAAACAGTACAGGTGCTTTTTCTTCAGCTCTGCGTGTTTTTACCTATTTAGCATCTCAGAATGTATTCCATGGAATTGCCCTTCAGTACAGTAATGGCTAAACATTTTCAAAAGTTAACCACTTTAAAGGTACACATTGTCTTATTAATCAGTCAAGCTGAAACTCAAGCACAATAATATTTGTTTTCTTTTCCATGCCATGGAATGGTCATCTATTCACAGAGGCGTTTCTCTGTTAATAAATCAAGCATTTAAATCTATCAGTGAGAACTTTACCGCCACATTTACAGCTCAGCTCCAACCAGAATAAATGAAACTGGAGACTTGAACCTGATTCTTTGACATTTTTTTCTGCTGGAGCTCAGAAAATATTATTCGTCTAAGAGAAATCCCAAACGCAGAGAGGAGAGCGAGTGACACTTGGTGATTTCGGCATTACTCATACATGAACCAAAGATTCTAAAGTCTTGAAAGCAGAACCTGCAGAAGATATTAGAAGAATGTCCATCCTGAGAGAGATCAACCCAAATGTGAAGAGCATCCGGGAGTCAGAGCAGGAGATCATAGACAGACGAGCAGGCGAAATCAATGCAGAGATTGAACAGGTAAGATATTCTAATTGGACTGAAATTAGCGTCACTCTAAGTGCATCTCTTCAAACTGGCGATCAGGGTTTCAGTGATGTGTCTTTAATTATATTCCATGATTGGTGTTGGTCAGAAAAAGTAGTGATGGCTTAATACTGAACACACTGCCCTAAATGCATTCAGTAAGATACTCCATCACAATAAATAAAAAGGTAATGTATTCAGAATACACCGAGGATATATTTAGAATACATTTAGAACATCTTCATAGGGTGCATAGGGAAAAAAATGCTTATCATTTCTGAATTCTCAAATTTGGGATGTAATTTTCTTGTGAAAATAAGTGAAAATAAAGTAACACATCCAAACAAACTTAAATATGGAATTTTTTATACAAATCTTAGATCACAGTTTGATGCAATTAGCTCAGTTTAACATACTGGAAAATTAAAACATAACATATAAAGTGCGCACAGTCCATTTTTGTGTTTCATTCTTTTTTCCAATATGTTACATTCAGCAAAGAAATATTAATTGTACATTAAAATGTGCAGAAGTGGGTTCCCAGACCCAGACTTGCTGTGACAATTTTCTTCTGGGGTCTTGACTGAGTTGCTTGTTTTATCAGGTGCAAAGGGTACTGGCTTTAAAGGTAGACCCCTAAATACAACTACAGGTGCACTAACTCCTGATTCTGACAATTGGCCAATCAGAAGCTCCTAAAAGTCATTACATCAATATCTTGACTCTTTCTGACTGTTAAAAGAGACAGTCAACTTGGTGTAAGTCAAACACAAGTTAAAGCTGAAATGAATTTGCCTTCAATCTAATTGATTTGCCAAAAGAAATTTATGGTGAGATCAAATGTATGGAATGTCTTCAGCTTTGGTGTATGTAGACTTTTGGTCTCGACTGTATGTATTCTGAACATCCCACCCCTGTTTAAAGTGTAAAACACCAGTGTTTCTTAAATCAGTCCTCAGGGCCACCAGGTGTCCATACCCTCTGTCCCAGCTCCCAACACATAGGGATAGAGTGAAAACGTGGACCATCTGTTGGGCCCTGAGGACACAAATGAACCACTGTAATAGGCAATAATTCACCATGCAAACATGAGTGCATATAAATGAACCTAATGTGCTAAACAAATTAAATGGAAGTAACAGTTTAATTGCAAAATCTAGTTACTAAGAAAATTTTGCACAAACTATGGTAACCAGCACAAGAACAGCTTGCAAGAAAATTTGCTAGGCAAAATCAGACCAAGCGGGATAAAACAATTGCAGATAACTTGCAAGTTATATCTTATGATTTATAACCCTGCTAATGATTTGCTTTTAGAAATATGTATATGGTGTGAATATCTCACCTTATTGCTTGTATGTTTTGCAGGGTTTAGTAAAGCACTACAAAGAAGTGCTTGATGTCTCATTTGGTGATGCCCACGGAATGGGATTAAAACCCCTCACCTTTGTCCGTCAGGTAAGCTCTCTCACCGGAGAGCCCCAGTCCTGGAACATCAGACATTGCATGCTCCAACGGCTCTCTTAGCTGTTCTTGTTGAATCATGCAGTTTGTCTCAGTTGTAATACATCTGACTCATCTGTTAATTATCAAGCCCCTTGTGGACTAAATTAAGAATCAGACAAGTTAAAACTAACTAGACAGGACTCTGGCCATCTAGGGCTGGAACAACATGTATAGTCTTCTCCTACAGGCTCAGCCCCACAGACTGACAATGTGAAACCTCAGGCAAGGAGGGGAAAGACCCTTCAGAATAAAAGGGTAAAGCTTAGGGTTAGCAGCTTCCAAAACCAGGCTAGCTAGTGTAAATTTCCCCTTTATAATAAAAGAGTTACGGTTAGGGTTAGCAGCGTTCACAAGCACAATAGATAGCCAGCTAGCCCATACAAAAAGAGTAGTTTATGTCATTTTTGAATATTATTATTTAACTACAGCATGTCTCTGAAACGGTTTATTTTCACTAATAAACCTTTTGATCTAACTTGTAAATGTAAGTAAATGTAAGCTGCCTTACCAATTTTTTTCCCTCAAGCTGAGGCCTTGCCCAGCCTGCAGGACTGCAGCTAGACGTGTCCTTGTCGATCACGCTGGTGCTGAACTCTATATATTCTTTTGAGCCTACAGTTGGGTCTAGTAGGAATGTAAAAATACAATAAAGTTAGTTGGATTTTATCAGTTGGATTTTATCAGTGCATCATATTGTGTCATATTGTATCATTGTATCATAACGAGCATCTTAGTTTGTGGCTAGTGTGTTAGCCTGGGGCTAACATGTTCATTTGTAGCCAGAGCATTAGATCAAGGCATTATAAAGCACAGCTTTTGTTTCAGAAATTACTCTTTTACAGCGTTGAAAGCTCTAATAAACTAAAAATGGAAGCATAGTAACATAAGGCACATTTTCCTGCCAGTCTCTAATTTTGCTGTATTGAAAAATGTATCAAATTGAGACACAACTGCATCGTATCAAGTCCAGTTTTAAATTTTGTGTATTGTTACACCACTGCAATCTTGGTGTGAGAGGCATTTACAGGCTGTCTGTGCACTCAAAACATTGTAACTTTAGATCTCTGGATGTAACTATTATGCAAGCGTCTACTTAATTAATAAATGACCCTGTATGGACTGTGCTGCAGGTCCTGGCTGCTTGCATCTACCCCTCCCTTCTGCTTGATGACAGCTTACCCCTCGACGTGAGAGAGAGGGCACAGCGTTTTCTGGAAGATTGTGATGGAGGGAGCATAGGTGATCTTTCTGAAAGATCTTATAGTGTACAGATGAATATACGTATTAGTATCTCTCAATCTCATCAGCGCTAGGTTAGATTAACCTATTAGCATTTCTCATCATACAAGTTCACCTAAACAGTCTACATCTGGTGAGATGGAGCGATAACATACATGCATTGATATGTTTTAGCCCTTTGACACTAAAGTATGGACACCCATTCCTGCCAGGTAGAGAAAAAAATGCCTCTGATTTTTTTTTGACTTTTCTGTTTCTGGCAGCAATATTTCGACATTTTGACTTAGCATCTCAAAAGGATCACTTTGAGACAAATAACTCAGTCGAAATAATGACATGGAATCTCAATGATGACTTATTTTCTTGAAATATTGATTCATGTCAAAATATGACTCAAAATTCTGACTTCTTATGTCAAAAATAATGACTTATTTACTCAAAATTCTGAATTCTTATGTCAAAACCATGACAAAATTACCTCACATTCTCAAAGTAATGGTTTATTAGGATGAAATAATGACTTAGTATCTCAATAAAATCACATTTTCTTAAAAAAAAAGTTGACTATGTCAAGATAATTGCTTATTTTCTTATAATGTTGAAACTATGTTGAAATATGGACTTTTCTCAATAATAATGGCATGCTATGTTGACACAATGACTAGTTTCTTGAAATGTATTTAAACTCACTGTTTCAACAGATTATGTTGGATTTTCATGTGAATAACTCATCTTGAGATAATAAGTATTTTACTAAGTCGATATTTGAGATATTTAATGAGCTTCCATACAGAACAGTAAGAATCATATATTTGATTATACATAAGCAGGAATGCAGTTATGATGGGTTTAATGTGTTTTGAATCACTAGGTTCATACCCTCCTATGATTGGGGTTAGAAAAGCCTGGCTCTCTGTATCTGAATTCATCAGCAGGCGAGACGGCATTGTGTCCAATCCTGATAACATCTTCATCACAAGTGGTTCCCAGCATGGCCTCATTGTGAGACACTGTGAGAATTACACTTCATTTTGTTGGATAAAATGCACAGGATAAAAAATTTGTATTTTATCTGTATCTGTAGTTGTTGCTGAAGCTGTTGGTTCAGAGCGAGGGCGCGCTGCGGACAGGGGTCCTCATTCCTGTGCCCTGCTACTGCAGCTTTAAAAATGCACTGACCGCTCAGGGAGCTGTTGCTGTGCCCTACTACCTGTGTGAAGAGGAAGGCTGGACGGTGCAGATTAAAGAGCTACGAAAAGCCCTCCACGCGGCTAGGGGGCACTGTAACCCAATGGTGCTATACATCATTAATCCTGGGAACCCATCAGGTAACTGAAGTCAGATTCTGGTTGAGGGGCAAATCCTCATGATGTTAAGTATGAAAAAATTCTAACATTTATACGCTTAAAATTGATGGTTCTTCAAGGGTTTTTTTTAGAAAAAAGAAAGAAAATGGTTCTGGATAGAACCATGAACATTCAAAGAACCCTTTCCATGATTAAAGGATTCTTCATATCGTGAAAGCGTTCTTTAGAATGATAGAGAATGTGCTGTAGATGGTTCTATATAGAACATATTTAAACAGGGTTCTCACTAGCACCAAAAAAGGTTCTTCTGTTGTTACGGTGGTAGACTTGTTACAATAGAAGAACACTTTTTGGTGCTACATAGAACCCTTTTCAAAAAGATTCTATATAGAACCATACAAAAGACATTCTCCACCAATCTGAAGAATGCTTTAATGATGTGCAAAATGTAAATTAAAAACTAAAGGCAATGATGTGTAAATCATTTAAACCCTATATTTCATTGAAAATAGTACAAAGACAACATATCAAATGTTGAAACTGAGAAATTCTATTGTTTTTTGAAAAATATATGCCCATTTTGAATTTGATGCCAGCAACATGTTCCAAAAAAGTTGGGACGGGGGCAACAAAAGTCTGGTAACATTGTGTAATGCTTAAAAAACATCTGGGGGTTAATTGGCAACAGGTCAGTAACATGATTGGGTATAAAATAGCATTCCAGAGAGTCTTTCAGAAGTAAAGATGAGGAGGGATTCACCACTCTGTGAAAGACTGCACAGACAAATAGTGCAACAATTGAAGAAGAACATTTCTCAACATAAAATAGCAAAACACTTTTGTTTATCATCATCTACAGTACATAATAACAATAAAAGATACAGAGAATCTGGAGAAATCTCTGTACGCAAGGAGCAAGGCTGAAAATCAGTATTTGCTGGCTGTGATCTTTGGGCCCTCAGGCAGCACTGCATTAAAAACAGACATGATTTTGTAGTGGAAATCACTGCATGGGCTCAGAAACACTTGTGTGAAACTGTGAAAACAGTTCATCACTGCAGCCCAAATGCTAATTAAAACTCTCGAACGCAACGAAGAAACCATATATAAACAGGATCCAGAAATGCTGCCACCTTCTCTGGGAGCTCATTTAAAATGGACTGAGGGGAAGTGGAAAAGTGTCCTGTGGTCCGACAAACCAACATTTGAAATTCAGGGCACAGTTCAAAAGCCAGTATTCATGATGGTATAGGGGTGCATTAGTGCACATGGCATGGGTGACGTGCACACCTGTGAAGACACCATTAATGCTGACATATGTTGCTGCCCAGACAATGTCTTTTTCAGGGAAGGCCTTGATTATTTCAGCAAGACAGTGTCAAACGACATTCTGCATGTATTACAACAGCCTGGCTCTGTATTAAAAGAGTCCGGGTGCTAAACTGGCCTGCCTGCAGTCCAGACTGTCACCCACTGAATACATTTGGTGCATTATAAAGTGAAAAATACAACAAATGAGCCCCCAAACCGTTATGCAGCTGAAATCCTTTATCAAACAAGAACGGGGAAACATTTCACTTTCAAAACTACAGCAGTCGGATTCCTCAGTTCCCAAACGCTTACAGAGTGTTCTTAAAGAAAGATATGATGAAACACAGTGGTAAACGTGCCCCTGTCCTAACTTTTTTGGAATGTTTTGTTGGCAAAATGGGCATATATTTTTCATAAAACAATACAATTTATCAGTTTCAACATTTGGCACATTGTCTTTGTAGTGTAGTGTAATTTAGATTTGCACTTCATTGCATCCTATTTTTACATATGTGTGTGTGTGTGTGTGTGTAAAATGTACACAGGCAGCAGTTTGCCAACATTTTGACTTCCTTAACATGCTACATCAAAGTAATGAGTTATTTCTCAGTAAATTACGTACTATGTTTCAAAATACACATTTTTTTTTGGGTCAGAATTATGATGTAATCTGGAAATAATTATTTATTTTCTCGAAATATTAACCTACTATGCCAAAGAGATGGCTTACTTTCTAAATTGTTTGACTTAGTGTGTCAAAGTAATGACTCACTGTCCTAAAATAATATAAAGTCTATATAATGAGTGGTTTCTGAGCTACAGTGACAACAATCTGTATGACATCTAGCCCTTACTGTAACCCCAAAACAAATGACATGTCAGTTCTTTCACTCTCACTTTCACCCACTTTAACCAAAGTTGTGTAAATGTTTTCTGAACTTTCGCCAGGTCATGTGCAGAGCAAGGCCTCGATTGAGGAAGTGATTCGCTTTGCTGCAGAGGAGAGGCTGTTCTTAATGGCAGATGAGGTGACTTTTCATAAAACTGTGTTTGATTAATTACAAAACTTGCATTCTGTTACTTCCCAACCCTGCTTAATATTGAGCTAAGTTTAATAAACCTGCATATTTTTGCTATACAAAACCTTGTATCTTCATTTTTGATGTAAGTTTTGTAACAGAATATGAGGCTGCTGGCAGCCCTGTTATTACATTAAAATTTCACTCTGAATGGGCCAATAGAATTGCCTTGGCAAGAAATCTTGTTCTAGTAACCTAAAAGTTACAATTAACAATTTTTCATTCTCCTGTGAAGTTATTATTTTGGAGATTCAAGTGTTTGTTGTGACAGCATTGATTTACATTTGGCCTCCTGAGCACAGAAATCCAGCTTCAATTGGCTTGAATTGGCTCCTCTTATCTTGCATTTTCTCCAAGGTGTTCTAAGTAGTTAGTTAGTTATTGGCATTCATTCGAGTCATTGGAAACCCTGGAAAACCTCTGCTGTTATACCACCCCAGCTCCATGCTGGATCTTGAATGGATTGGATTGTTTCCTTTTCTGTTTGTATCTCACCTCTCCAGGTGTACCAGAGCTTTGTATATGGGAACGGACGTGAGTTTTACTCGTATAAGAAGGTGCTGTCTGAGATGGGATCTCCATACTCCAGTAATGTGGAGCTGGCATCCTTCCACACTATCTCCAAAGGAGTCATGGGAGAGTGAGTCCTTGAAAATGGAGCTATAGTAAAATTTTCTTTTTCACATTTGATCCCTTCGCAAATACATTTATACAGATACAGTGGTGCTTGAAAGTTTGCGAACCTTTTCCATTTTTCTATATTTCTGCATAAATTTGACCTAAAACGTCCTCAGATTTTCACACAAGTCCTAATAGTAGATGAAGAGAACCAAATTAAACTAATGAGACAAAAATATTAGACTTTAGTCATTTATTTACTGAAGAAATTAATCTAATATTAGATATTTATGAGTGGTAAAAGTATGTGAACCTTTGCTTTCAGTATCTGGTGTGACCCGCTTGTGCAGGAATAACTGCAACTAAATGTTTTTGGTGACTGTTGATTAGTCCTGCACATCGGCTTCATGGAATTTTAGCCCATTCCTCCATACAAAACAGCTTCAACTCTGTTATGTTGGTGGGTTTCCTCCCATGAACTGCTTGCTTCAGGTCCTTCCACAACATTTCTAGAGGATTAAGGTCAGGACATTGACTTGGCCATTCCAAAACATTAACTTTATTCTTCTTTAAATGTTCTTTGGTAGAACAACTTGTGTGCTTAGGGTCATTGTCTTACTGCATGACCCACATTCTTTAGAGTTCATTTTCCATCAATGATGGCAAGCTGTCCTGGCCCAGATGCAGCAAAACAGGCTCAAACTTTGATACTACCACCACCGTGTTTCACAGGTTTTTTCCTTTTCCAAACATAACGCTTCTCATTTAAACCAAAAAGATCTATTTTCGTCTCATCCATCCACAAAACATTGGTCAAATAGCCCTCTGGCTTGTCCATATGATCTTTAGCAAACTTGTTCTTTAGCAAATAATGTTCTTTTTGGACAGCAGCAGATTTCTCCTTGCAACTGTGCCAGGCACACCATTGTTGTTCAGTGTTCTTCTGATGGTGGCCTTTAGTTGCTTAGAAGTTAGTTCTTCTGTAACCTTGCGGACTATTAGATACCTTGCTCTTGGTGTGGTCTTTGTTGGATGACCACTTCTGGGGAGCAATGGTCATGAATTTGTACACAGTCTGTCTGACTGTGGATTGATGGAGTCCAAACTCTTTACAGATGGTTTTGTAACCTTTTCCAGCCTGATGAGCATCAACAGCTCTTCTTCTAAGGTCCTCAGAAATCTCCTTTGTTCATGCCATGATACACTTCCACAAACGTGTTGTGAAGATCAAACTGTGATAAATCCCTGTTCTTTAAATGAAACAGGGTGGTCACTCACACCTGATTGCCATCCCATTGATTGAAAACACCTGACTCTAAGTTCACCTTCAAATTATTTGCAAATCCTAATGGTTCACATACTTTTTGCCACTCATGGATACAGAATACTGGATCATTTTCCTCAATAAATAAATGCAGAAATCTAGAAAATTCTAAAGGGTTCACAAACTATTAAGCTGTATAGCTGTAAACTTTGCACCACTGTATTTTGTAAAAGCAGGACAGAATCATTCTTAGACACAACAGCACATCGCACACCACTGAACTTTCGCACAGTAACATTTTGACTCCCGCCCACAATTTCCCACAAACCACCAAATGTGAAAGTTTCAGTAAACTGGTTTACGGTATTTAATTCCTATTTCTTCTACCAAAAATAGATTCATTTGAAAGTGACCATTTTCCAACCTCTCTTTATCCTTGCCTTGTTACTGTGCCTTAAAGACCAAATGACCCCTGTTCTGATCAGTTACCTCGTATCATTCAACATTTAAAAAAGCAGCCCAGGCTGAAAGTATGTTTGTAACTTCAGCATGAGTGGGCGGAGCTAAATGGCTGTGGGCTGAATAGGCGTTTATATATAAATGTGTTCTTTTTTGTGACATCATAAAAACAGTGGGCTGTTTTTGTAGCTTAGCTTTCATACAGTTGTATGAAAAAGTTTGAACACATACATAAATTAGATGTTTACATTTTATTGCACAATTTGTATTTATTTGCTGAGTTTAACATTGGAATGAGTACAAAATATATAAAATAAAATAAAAAAAATAAGATATAAAATACGCACAGGCCCCATTTTTTTTTTCATTATATGTTAAATTCATCAAATTAACAGTAATTGTGCATTAAGTGGGCAGAAGTGTGTCTCTGTAAAGGATGTGTAAACTTTTTCTCATTTAGAAAGAATGAATGATACGCTTGTCCATGATATGAGCCTGTAACGTTGAAAGCACTTGAAGGGGACATGCAGTTAAACTCCTGTCTGACAATGAAGCTAAAAAAACGAACAAATGCCAAACCTTCCTTCGTGTGGCCAGGTGTGGTCTGCGTACTGGCTACGTGGAGCTGGTGAACATTGACCCTGAAGTGATGCGATATACCTCCTCACTGTTCGCCACAAACTTGTGTGTGCCCGTGGTTGGACAGATCGCCCTGGACGTCATGGCTGACCCTCCACAACCTGGACAGCCTTCTTACGCTCTGTATGCTCAAGTAAGATTTGAGATTTTTTTTTTTTATGTATTTTTAAACATATTTAGGTAAAATTTCACTTGAATTGATTGATTTTCTTCAGTAATATAACAATGTGATGTTACTATTAGTGTTAATTATGTCACATGCTAATTGTAGCTAAGTGTACCCTCGTTAGCCACCATGACATCAGATATTATGGCATCTGTCATGACAATTAACCGTAACAGCAACATGACACATATATTATATTATATTACTGAACATGATCTGAAACTGCGATTTATGACAGCATATGGCATGTTTATGGCACGGTTATGTCAGTGTAATGTAGCAGGGTTCAAGTACTGTATTACATGGAGCCCCGCTGTTGACATCCTGTATAAATAAAAATAATGCATAGCCATGCTGTATTAATGCGCAAGAGCAAGATCCTAATGTGTGACTTAGTAAGGTGTGGGAACAAGATAACTAAAGTTGTGGCTTTAATTATTTAGTAAGGTGTGGGAATGAGATAATTAAACTTTGGGAACCCATCACATCAGGTATCTTAATGTCTTCATTCTGTATGCAAACATACACTGATCATTCATAACATTATGACCACCTCCTTCTTTCTACACTGAGATAATTAAACTTTGACCACAGCTTTGACCATGATCTCATTCCCATGCCTTGCTAAGTTGTGGCCACAACGTAATTATCTTGTTTCCATGCCTTACCAAGTTGCATTTTTATTTACGCAGGATGTAGTTTTACCCATATTATGGATGCCATAATTCTAATTTCAATCAGACAGTTACCCATTCTCTGTTGATCTTGCTATTGCTTCATAAAAAGCTAGCTTACATGGACAGTGTTGGGGCAGTAATCAATAACAAATGATTAATTATGCCTAAACTGTAAAGGTAATCACATCATTTTTATGTGTTACTTGCTGCATTACACCCAACACTGCATGCATGAAGTGCAGTCTTTTCTGGAAAAGAGATGTTTTATCCTAAAATATCTGGCTTTGTCTCTTTCAGCAAGTTCAGTCACTCCAGAGGACACTAATGAATAATGTGCAGAGGACAGAGGAGGTTCTCAGTGGTCTCCCTGGCATCACCTGCCAACCCATAATGGGAGGGATTTTTGCCTTTGCGTGTCTGCATTTGTCGCAGGCTGCAATCAAACATGCCAAGGTCAGTTTTACAGGGGTCCCCCAAATATGAATTTTATTCGTTGTTCACCACAGCAGCATATTACCCTATTCACCAGAAAATCCATATCAATATACTTGCATTACAATCAAATTTGGGTCTAAATATTTAGAAATAGTCTATTCAGGGGATGTATTACTGAGCTGCCATTGGAAACACCTACCTTGTACCTACCTACTGGCCATTTTATTAGAAACACTTTCCATATGGGTGCACTTCATATGTTTACAGTTACAGGCTGTAGCCCACCTGTTGCTGTACAGTTTATCAGCCCCTCTATCCATCAATGGAAAGAGACCACCATGACCTGATATTTTCTGGGTGGTCTCTATATAGCAGTGACACCATCATATGACAGATGACAGACCATATGAGACTGGTCGTTGTGTCCACAGGAGAAAAAGCTGGAGCCAGACTTGCTGTACTGCCTGCGTCTGCTGGAGGACATGGGCCTGTGTGCGTCACCTGGCTGTGAATTCGGACAGAAAGAGGGAACCTATCATATCAGGTACCTTAATGTCTTCATTCTGTATTCAAACTGATCAGCCATAACATTATGACCACCTCCTTGTTTCTACACTCGTTGTCCATTTTATCAGCTCCACTTACTATATAGGAGCACTTTGTAGTTCTACAGTTACAGACTGTAGTCCATCTGTTTCTCTGCATACTTTGTTAGCCCCCTTTTACCCTGTTCTTCAGTGGTCAGGACCCCCATGGACCCTCACAGAGCAGGTACTATTTGGGTGGTGGATCATTCTCAGCACTGCAGTAACACTGACATGGTGGTGGTGTGTGTTGTGCTGGTACGAGTGGATCAGACACAGCAGTGCTGCTGGAGTTTTTAAACATCTCAGCGTCACTGCTGGACTGAGAATAGTCCACCAACCAAAAATATCCAGCCAACAGCATCCTGTGGGCAGCGTCCTGTGGGCAGCGTCCTGTGACCACTGATGAAGGACTAGAGGATGAGCAACACAAACCGTGCAGCAGCAGATGAGCTATCGTCTCTGACTTTACATCTACAAGGTGGACTGACAAGGCAGGAGTGTCTAATAGAATGGACAGTGCGTGGACACAGTGTTTAAAAACTCCAGCAGCACTGCTGTGTCTGATCCACTCAGACCAGCACAACACACACTAACACACCACCACCACGTCATTGTTACTGCAGTGCTGAGAATGATCCACCACCCAAATAGTACCTGCACTGTGAGGGTCCATGGGGGTCCTGACCACTGAAGAACAGGGTAAAAGGGGGCTAACAAAGTATACAGAGAAACAGATGGACTACAGTCTGTAACTGTAGAACTACAAAGTGCACCTATATAGTAAGTGGAGCTGATAAAATGGACAATGAGCGTAGAAACAAGGAGGTGGTCATAATGTTATGGCTGATCGGTGTATGGCTCCCTAGCAGTATGTTAGCTATGTGTATTAGCTAGCTAGTGGAAACTATGGAGCCCTGCTGGTGACATATAAACAAAAATAACAAATACTAACCACGACTTAGTAAGGCTTTGGAACAAAATAATAAAGTCGCAGCCACTACTAAGTAAGGCGTAGGAACAAGATCATGCCCTATTAAGCTGTGGCCACGACTAAATTATCTTGTTCCCACACCTTACACCTTATCAGTCATAGCCATGCATTATTTGTTTTTTATTCACGATGTCACCAGCAGGGCTCTGTAGGAAACAAAGAAAAAAAGACAAAAAATTAAATAAAAATAAATAAATAAAAAATTAAACACAAATAAAACAGCCTGCCAGCTTGTGTCCACCCCAAAGTGCTTATAGTGTTTCTTACGTTCCTCCCAACTTGAAGATCATGAGAAGTGGGGTTTTTGTTGTTTTTAAGCTAGAAAATCTCATTCTAGAGACTATTGCGGCACCACTGCAGAAGGCAAGTAGGCAATTGGTGGTTAAGACGTTTTAAGACAATGTCTGAACGCAGCCAGCACTTCTTGTTTTGTGTTCTCTAACTGAAAGCTTGTATGTTCTGTTAAGGATCTGTCTGGCATCTCCAGAAGCGACGATGGAAGATGTGCTGCAGAGGCTGAAGAGTTTCCACCTCCGCTTCATCAAAGAGTTCCCTTGATGTAATGGTGAAAAAATTTGCGGTAACAGTTTTCTTGAACCCTGCTACATAACACGGACATAACCATGCCATTAATATATGACGGCAGATGTCATATGCTGTCATGAGTTGTCATGACAGGTTATGTTACTGTTACCGATAATCATGACATGTCATAATGTTTGAAGTCTTGTTTTTTTTTTAAAGTCAGTATTATAAAAAAAGTAAAAGGTTCCTGTCGAAAATGGCAAAATAAGTTGGTTATAAGTTTCTATGTGCAACAGCCAATCAGTGCAGCTGATGAATACAGAACCATATACAACACGTTCTCCATCAATCCGAAGAACGCTTTCACGAAGCAAAGAACGCTTTTAATCATGCAAAGCGTTCTTTGAATGTTCATGGTTCTATATAGAACCATTGTCTTTACTAAAGAACCCTTGATAACCATCTTTTTTTAAGTGTGTACATTTTAACCATCTAACTTTAGAAATAGTGAGGGTAACTGCAGCGAGACAGAGGCAGTGAAGCAGAAGCTCAAACAGCACAGAGAGAGAATATTCCTATTGTTGATGTACAACAATAAATACACTTATTAATGAACATGTTGGAGCATCTTGTTTTGCCGTACTTTTTCCCCTTGTTATCATAATGTCAAATTGTGGCACAATATATGTATCAAATTCTCATATGACTTATCGTACACTACAGGTGAGTGAGTGCAAATGTCTAAACTAATAGTAAAATTAATTTCCCATACTATCAGATTCTCATTCTGATTCAGTCCTGAGGCCTTTTTTTTATTTCTTCATAATTACCATTTGGACATATTTAAATGAACATGCTCATGATATTAATGTGGCGTATGAAACCTGTCTGAATATTGGAAAATGAATGTACTAAACTGTATTACACTGAAACAACTGCCTTTATATTTACCTACAATAAATTGATTGTAAGTAAATATGATAATGTAGTTTGATTTGTGAACAGTGCGGTGAAATTTCCATTCTAACACAGGTTTATTTCACAGATAGAACCATATCCTTCTAAACTTAAGGAATTAAAGGAATTAAAATGTTTCCATCTGCGTTTTGTCAATTTTAGAAAAGACCGTTTCCAAATATCCCACAATTTTAACACTTATCGGTCAAATGTGTCTCAAGGCAATTCCTTTTTAAGGATTTAACAGATAACTGCACTACATAACAGTTTTACTATTTTGAAAGTGAAATCTTTCATTCTTAAAACTGCACTGAAAGCAGGTAGATCCTTTTAATTCGAAGCTGACAGTATGATATGACACTGCGACATGTTTATGGCATGGTTATGTCATGGTTATGAGTTCAAGGAAAGTGTTACCAAATTTGCTGAACTTTCCTTCGCAGTCAGTTTAGATTGATAAGATCTTCAGCTACTTTAACCTGGCCAGAATGAGCCGTATCTCGAGTAGGGTTGTGCATGAGTTCGCCGAAAACTGTTGCTTAATTCCTGTGATGGTCTTTAGATATGATATAGAAAAGAAGGCAACCATAAAAAATTCACTCTGTAGCTTTGATATATTGTCAGTGTCATTAATTACAGTCCAACGATAACATTAAATGAATGCAATAAATAAATGCACATTCAATGTGGTCATTTTCTTACAACAACATAAACAGTGTTAACATTAACTCTTCAACCAGGAAGAATTTCAGCCTCCATACGGATTATCTTCTGCTCTCAGTGCGAAGCCAAGTAGGGCAACAAAGATGAAACAGTCACACAGTCAGACTACAACTCATAACTCTGTCAAGAAACACCATCCTCATCTAGTTTGAAACTACATTCAAGTGAATTCAGTGCAAATATCACAGGTCTTTGAATAGAGAATTACTGCAGATGCTCCAGAAACTAGAAAACGTCCATTCATTAAATAAATCGGAGAAACTCTTCTGTCTCAAATCTTCACAAAATATCTGACTGCAAATCCAGTTTCTCTTCATTATATGACCATGTTAATGCAAAGTGGACCTCTTTTCATTCCAATCATCTCAGCAGTGCAGATAACTGTTGTGAAGCCATCTTGCATATTTCCCGTCGCTTGGCAATCAGGGGACTTGTTGACGAGTATCAATCATCTGTAGGCACTATCAGAAGTTGTTGGCATGCTTAGCTAGGAAGGGACATGTATTTGCCTTCTTTGTGCGTAAGTAGGTTGACTCAAACAGAAAGAGCAATAGGTATGCATAGTGTTGAATCACGTCACTCTAGTAAAGCACCGCCAAAGCCCTGACCATCACTCTCCATCACTGTAGTCCTCACTATTAGCATCTGGCTCAGTGTTATTCAGAAGGTCCACCAGTAAAGAGATGAGCTGGTCATCTTGAGTGCCTCTGGCTTCAGAAACAGAGTCAGAAGTCAAAGCTCGGAGGTTACGGTGGACCATGGCCTGCAGAGATGTGCGTAATTCCCATAGCAACTCCCAGCTCTGAGCAGGCAGCTCCCACCGCACGAGAGAACGGCCTGGCATCGCCACCTCCACCTGATCCCCATACACTGAGACAGAGAGACGGATAGAAAGAATGAATAAGGGAAAGGCAGATTTAGTTTTAGGGTTGAGGTACTTCTGAAAGCTTTTAGTCCATGCTGTTACATATGCTGTCTCCAAAATTTAAGGCTGATGGATGATACACTATATGGACAAAAGTATTGGGACACCTATACAAATACAGACAGAGGGGCAATATTACACAAGATGTTTAAAGAATCATTTAATATCTGTGCTCTAGTTGTTTTTCCTGATGTACTGTTATCCATATATTCATGTTTTAGTTTCACTTATTGTGATATATATTATTACTATTGCTCAGGAGTTAATATGGGTGTATAAATCTTCATCATTTCACAAACATATGCATCTATTAAGTTCATATATAATCGCTCCTGTCGGAACAAAACCTTGTATCTCCAGTATCTTCAGTTTTTGACATAATTTTAAATTGCCTGTAGTCCTTTATATTGTCTGTAAAGTTCATGATGAATGGACCAAAAGAAATGGAACAAAGTCACTTGAAAAAAAGTCTGGTTCCATTGACTTACATTAAAAGTAAAGTAGGTCTTTTCCTCCTTCTGTAAAGGTACCATTTTGGAGATACAAGGTTTTGTTCCAACAACAGCGATATACTCACGGATGCCCTCGTGCACATAGACAACACAAACACACATATGCTTACACATTCACGTTTTTGTTTTATGCGTTTTGCCGACATTTAGGTTGTTTGATGCTTATTTTATTATTATATTTTGTGTATTAATTTGTATGTTTTCATAACATTGTGAAGTTCTAATATTATTCATGACGAAGCTTTATATAAGCCTACACTGCAAAAAGTGGCTCATCATATCTACTTAAAAAATTACTTCATTGACCTGGTATTATTCAAAAAAATGACTGAAAGAATCGTTCATTCAAAGTATTTATTTAGGTTGAATAAAACTAGTTAATTTACTTGTAACCACAAAGTATTTTTTTTTAAGTAGATCTGATGAACCACTTTTTACAGAGTATTAGGTTTTTGCCTCTCCCTGCACTGCATGTTATCTTTGTTTATTTGTGTGTATTTTGAATTGTTTATTTTTATTTATTTTATTTTATTTTATTTTTTTATTTATTTAAATTTGTGTGTATTTTGAATTGTGCAAAAAATAAACTACAAACTACAGACATAGAAGGAATAGTTAGAATGAAATAATGAGATTCTGAAATTCTACTACAGTCTGATGCAGTGGTCACTAATTTGAGTCACTGTGTTTATGATGGTTAAAAATCATCATGACCGATTTTCTTGGTCACTGGGGCACCTCTGGTGTAGCACAAGAAAAAGCACAAACTTTGACCCACAAACAAATTTGTGAGGCCTTTTTAACGACACCAGCCCTTCATCTCTTTTTGGTGTCAGGATACTTTATATGGCTTACTGGCTGAGAAATGATAAGAACATGTTTTTTTCATAATTATCACTGCACTGAGCAGCGGTTGCTAAGTGATGACTTGTTTTGCACTGCAGATAACCGTTACTAAGCTTCCTCACATATAAAAGCAGAAAAAGCTACATTAGATAGTGTATCTTCAATCAGATAATATTTGACCTGCAGCCTGTTTGGCCAGATTCTGCATGACAGCAGGACTACATCAAATTCTGAAGCTGCTGTTGCACTGAAGCGAGATTTTCAATCAGCAGCTGTGATGGTGGAACAACTACACAACTGGTATTAGAAATGAACAGAAAACAATTCAGCCAATAAGATGAGCTGTGGAATGCTTTACAGACTGGCTGGAACAAAACCACATTCAGTGATCATATCATCCACAATGTGTGTGGAAAACCAGACCCTGCAGTTCTTCCCAAACTCAAATTATTTGAAGCTCCTATCTGCATCACTAGGAACCAAAAAAGTGCATCATCTAACAGCAGCAGCCTATCTGTGCGTTGAGGCGCCGGAGCAGTGTAAACGCAGTATGCGTAGATGGCCCCTCTGAATGTATGTAGAGGTGATGAGTTACCTCTCTCCACCAGATCACAGTCAGTGAGGAGGAGGAGGGACAGCGGGTGGACCGTGGAGGAGTCTCTGATGAAGACGTTCCCGTTCGATTTAACAGCGGAGAAGAATGTGAGCCAGCGGCTGGGGAGCTGCTGTTCACCCCTGGATAAAACAACAAAAACACACACTTTGTTTAGTAGTCATCTTTTTTTATTTATGCAATGATCCTTTTCTCCTCCCAGCTGTTTCACAGGTTATAAGAGCACTCCAGAGATATTAGACCAACAATCAGTTGAATGTATTTTATAATACTTCTGGCGAACCAAGGACAGACCATTCAGCCATGGCATGAAAACAAATGTTATTTAACCAAATTAACAGTTTAAATAAATAAATAAATAAATAAATAAATAAATAGTCATGCTAATTAATACATTAATAAATAAATAATCAATGCTAAGCCTGCACTGTACTTCAAATGACAAAAGAAATAAATGAAAACAAACTGTTGACGAACATGCCACAAGTATACTTGAAAGGAAATCTGTGTTCGTCTCAGAACTGCTGGAAGTCAGCTTTGTGCAGTGGACTAATCGCAGTCAGGGTGATCAAGACTTATCGCAGTCAGGGGAGGTCTCGGGACAAACAACACTGTGATTAGCACCGAGTGCGGTCAGGGGGAGGTTTTAGAAACAACAACCCAGTGATTAGTACCAATCACAGTCAGGGGGAAGTCTCAAAACAAATGATGCCGTGATTGGATGCCTTTGTGGCGCAGCTTTGGCGCGGTGCGTAGCGCATTAGTCCGCGATCAGCGTGGTTGAGGGTTCAATCACCAGGTCCCGTGACCAGTCAGTGGCTTTTGGGGGCAGTCATGGGCTGGAGGTTAGGGAACCAGCCCTGTGACTGGAAGGTCGCCGGTTTGATCCCCCTGAGCAGACAGTACATGACTGAAGTGGTCTCAGAACAATTGATACGGTGATTAGGGCCAATCACATCAGAACGAATTACATAGTGATCAGGAGTTCTGTTCAGTAAGCTGCACACAGAGACATTCATTTGCTAATGTCTGTAAGACAGAATATAGGCTGGTGAGGCCTAGCATTCCTCACTACCATTAGGTAAACGGTTACCTGTTGACAGAGGAGCGGTGGAGCAACACAGGCCCACTCTGAGTGCGATAGGACAGGTTATCTGGGCGAAACCTGCCCCCTTTGGTCACAGTGCCTCTTTTCACCTGGAAATAATAAGATGGTCAGTATCCTGAATCATGCTCTTCAGGTTGTTCAGATAGGGTCAATGAAACAGGCTTATTTGTTTGTATTACTACCAGATGCTGCACAAATTCAATGCTTTTTAATGCCTTTTTAAAACCTCATCAAAGGAAAAATAACACAATTTCCAGTGTACAACTATACAAATCCATCATGGATATATGCTTCAATTTATGTACACGTCTTCTGAGTGTGTTTGACTATTTTATGCTGTCCTCTAGTCCTCTAGTCCTTAATCAGTGGTCAGTTTCTGACAACAGGATCACAGTCGGCTGCATATTTTTGGTTGTTGGACTGTTCTGAATAAGTTTAATATACAGGATAACTCTTTATAACCAGTTTTTTAGATATTATCTTAAATCCCAACTGCATCTTTAAGCGCCACTACATCTTTTCAAACTGCCGCTGGAGTAAAGCTCCAACCACCAGTGCTGCTATGTTAGTTAACAGACGCTGGCGCTGACTAGCATTTTGTTGAGTGATGGGGGAGGTTGGGGCGGGGGGGCATGCTACCCACCCAGAAGCCAATTGTGCTCTCTTGGACTCCCAGCTACGAATGGATGTCTTTACATTTTTAGGATCAATTTTAAAACTTTTGAAGGATTTACAGGAACCATAACTCTCTCTATGAGGTTTTGTTAAGACACACAAAAAAACTGCATTTTGAGGTTATTCATATGTCTAAATGCAGGTGTTTGTGAGTGTATTTGCTCCTGAGCACATTACTTAAAACCATTTATATTGGCACTGGCATTTTTTTTAGAAAAACAAATTGCCTGTAAAAACTGGGAGAACTTCGGACTTCGCATTGAGAGTCAACAGCTACAGGTTCCAAATGCAACACTTAAAAATCACCTCTAGACCTTTTAACTGCTAATTTGTAAGCGAAAATAATAAGAGAGTAACACACCCCTCATATTCCCATCCCATACTTATTATTCAATTTCTACTCTAATATGCCATGGTAGGCAGCTAAAATAACAACAGCTTTGTTCACGTCCAAATATTTATGGACATGCCTGAATATCATTAGAATAAATGCAAATAAACATAAATAAGTTGAGTAAGCATGTCAGTTTGCATGTGTTTGTGATGTACCTGGATGAGGTTGGGGTAGAACCCTGCCAGCAGCACAGCTTTGAGAAGCTGCTCCTGGTGGCTGTGCTGATTGAGCCGGGACGAGGGGCGGAGACAGTCAACCGAGCGAGCCGCTAGCTCCGCCTCCACCAGATTCTCACTGAACTGCTGAGTCAGGCCTACTCGAAAACAGACACAGAGAAACAAACGCAGGTCAGTTAGAACAAGCCTCACATTCGCTGGTTGGCGATGGAGGTACACGTTCAGTCGGACTATTTGCCCCCACTGCCTTTTCTAAAGGTCTCTCATTTGCTATATTTTGCGGAATGACTGAAATGATTGGTCTTTCATTCTCAAGTCTCTTACAACTTCCAGGGTTTGGGATTCTTGTGGCTGGAGCAGCTGTATCTGAACGAAACCAATCTGTGGGCTATATAATTAAAGCTCTGTAGAATCAAGAGATTTTTCTGCACATCAAATATTGAAATTCTAATTGAATTGAAAATCATATCAAATCTGAAAATATCATTACAACCCTAATTTTCCCCATGTGCTTCCCAACAGATGTGTAGCAAAAGGGTGCCCAACTCCAGTCCTGCAGAGTTTAGTTTCAACCCTAATCCAACATACCTGACCCAATTGGTCAAGGCTTGATTATTAAAGCCAAGTCTATTAGAATTACACTCTCCAGGGTGGCAGACCTTCAATCAGAGCTGGGCACTCAGTTCACAGTACGGGTTTATTGCCATTCGTAGGTATGAAAAATACATACATCTGAATTTAATTGAGGAGCTCATTCAGAAACTTGTATAAAAGGAAGAACATACACATCTACCCACCCGCATACAGCCACCGGTCAAACAGGAATCAATTGGAAGCATTTAAAATGTTCAAATCACTCAGAAAAACTACTATACAGTCTTTTTATTCTCAACTTAATAGACATATATATTTTCTCCCAGAACATAAAGGAACAAAAATCACATGCGCAGGGTGACTCTGACTGCCCACAGTATTCAGTGCTTGTTTACGGACTCTGTTAGTGTATAGAGATTCTATGTGGGGAAGGGCAGCCCTGATAATCCCCTATACTCAACCACAACTTTCTCCAGCACTTTCTGATCAATCAGAACATTTAAGACACCCATAGCAGACTGTTATAGAATAGGTTTCATGCTCTCTATAGCACATCTATAGGATTTCCTTTAAATCTTCACACTCAATCCTGGGGCCGTATTACAGAAACCTCCTATCTTTTTGTCCCAAGTTAAGATCTGACAGGTCAAGATAAGATTTTTCACAAATTCGCATTACAGAAGCAAATCTGATCTTAATTTAGGAATTCTCTCTTATATCAGGTCAAAAAATCTTGAACTATTTGATCGAAGTTGACAAACAACCGTCATTTCTGTTACCAGCGACCGACGATAAACAGCTGTAACACGTAAACACGTAATCAAAATAACATAAAGCAATGTAAGCTACAGCTACTATTACCAAAACAAAACTAAAGTGTGATCAACTGGAAGTTAGGAATATTGTGAGACGCCCCCTGCTGTTTCTCAGAGCGTCGCCGCTCCCCAGTTTCAGGTTCCCAAATGCTTTAGTCGGTGTGCGACCCTTGCTATGTTATTCCTCCTAAAAAACAGCCACACGTTCAGCTCTGTCTCCTCATTATTCATCGACATCACTGTAATAAGTTTTTATTAACTTTATGCTAGTAAACTATGCTGCCTGTCACAGTTGCCTAAAAATGATAGAAACAGGCAGTCAAAACAGAAGTTAGGACACTAAAGCAGGACAGTATTTAGGAAGTTTTTATCTAGTTAAGATGTTTCTGTAATGCTGCTTCATTATCTGGAGTTAGGATGAGGTTATGAACTTAAGAACTGTACTTATTTAATAGCTACTGTCATAAATTCAGTCCTAACTGAAGTTGTCATGGTGACTAAACATAAGATTTCAGAGCCAAGATGTTTCTGAGACATGGCCCTGGAGTAGGACAAATATAAAGGATTTGGGATTCGGGCTGAATGAAGTGACTTGCCGTGTATGAAACGCAGACTTGTTCCCGACAGTGTGTGCAAGTCCAGATATTCCTGCCGACTCTGTCTGTCCCCGAGCTCCCTCCAGCCCTGCACGGCCCTGCTGAACACCAGATAATCACTGCAGCTAGAACCGCTCAGAGCCTCCTTAGCCTGAACAGAAGGAGAAGGAGAGGGAGAGAGATAGAGAGTAAGAGAGTAAATAAAGGATTATTTTAATCTATCACACAATAAATAAAAAAGGTGAAAAGCTAAAGACGATATCAGCTTTAATTGCATAAATGATACAGAAAAACATGAGATACCCTTGTAAAGTGAACGCATCTCTCAGAACACTTCAACACAGTGAATCAAATGCTGGGGTTACGCTGCTTTCATGTTAGTGAAATAGTCTGATCCTGTTCATCAGTTTTAAATGTGCTTCCTAAGCAACATTTGAATGGGATTAGTTTTACATGTGAAGATGGGGTAGTATAACTATTGCCAGAGTGTGTTATTGGTTTTAATCCGGTCCTGAATCCACTATCTTAGTCATTTTACAGCTGTCAGCTCCCATATTCAGCTTCTATAAAACTACAAAATGCTCTGTATAAATAACTTAGCTATATGAATCCTGTGTGAACTACCATGCTGGTAAATTCTGCACTACATCCTGTGGAAAAAAGATTCTGCGTTTTTTTTTTTTGCAGTATGCAGGCAATCAGTTGTGTTCACTGCGCCCTGAATTAAGCCATTATCTATTGTCCTACCTCAAGTGTACAGCACTGAATATTACAACATGTATATGACAAAAATACATAAAAAAATAAGCTAGATTTTATGCAATGAAGTTCACTGATGGCTGTTAATTCCTAAACTATTGACAGTGCTGAGTACAGTATTAAACATTACGATGAAATGCTTTCTACTTGTGAGTAAATATACTCTGTATAAAACTTTTTATGGTAAAAATTACATTACTCTATCTCCACATGGAAAACGAATCCAGTCCTCATAGTATATGTGTGTAATAGTGTGTAATGACAGCAAAATTAGCTTTACGGGCTGCGTGTTGATTAAAGACAGCTAGCTTAACAACAGTTAAAACACCGGCACTGTAAATATTATTAAGTGGTACACCATTTTCCTACTTTCAGCCAGTTTCACACTGCAGACATTTAGATCAGGGATGGATCACAGTCTCACAAGGGCTCTGGGCAGAAGTGTCTTTGGACCCCTTTACCCCCAACACTTTGACCATAAGACAAAAAAAATTACAAAAAAAAGGACCCATATAATGGAAAATTGGATTTCTTCCCTTTTTTGCATTGAAAGAGCTTTAAGTACTACGTAAAAACTGTTAAAGTTTCAAAATGCACCATTCAACTCCCCAGTCCATTCCATCCATATGGAAACATTTTGAATGAGGCATCATAGAGGGAGGCCAATCAGAACAGAGGTCATTAGAATATTTACATCTCAAAGGCACTGTAACATAAACAGCCTGTTTAATTCTACAGGACAAGGGACTTTGGAAATGGGCATGTAGAAATGACTTGGCCTGTTTTTGGAACATAAAATCACACGTCATATAAGGACCTTAAGGTTTAATATTATTTACAAGAAAAATGCTAAATATGGGCCTTGAAGTAAACCACTTGCGTTTGTTTATGTGACCAAAATAATGAATAATTAAATAACGTGTAATAACTACTGTTTCCTGCTGTTATATTTCTGCACATTTTTATGTATTAGGGGGCTTTTAATTATTTTAAATATAGTGGAAGGTATATTTAGTCATTACATTTAAGGGCTTTCCGGATTTTTCCATCTGCAATGGACTGTCGCTAGTCTTTGAGACTGTGGTCCCACTGGCCTGGTCAGTAATCTATACCTAATTTAGAGCAACTGTTAACTGATGAAAACATATCTGACCTTGTTGACGAGAGCGCGGTTCTGCATGCTGTTGTGGAACGGGTCTCGGGTCAGACAGGCAGCTACAGAGAGCATGGGCAGAACACAGCGGAACAGAGCCGACAGAACCAGAGCCTTCCCCAAGCGCGGGTCACATGATATACACGCCACCCGCTCGCCCAGCGGAGTCAGACACTCCAAACCATCCAACACTCCTACAGAGAGAAGTCAGGAAAACAGAGGAAAGAAATATGAATGCAGAGTGAATGAAACCAGAAACAGAACTAAAAAAAACACCTACTAACTTAGCCAGAGGCACATTTACACAGAGTCTTGACTGAATGCTATAGATCATTACAAAGCACTTTTATTTTGAAGTAAACGAAGCACATACAAACTTTGCTAACTGATTGTTGCAGCTCTAGTCTAAACACACAAAGCCTGATCAGGTGTTGAAGTATATTCTGACTGAAGGGTGGTGCTGTGCAGTCTCACCGATGTCCTGCAGGGTCTTCACTGCGTCTTTCACAGCCCCTCGCTCTGGAGAGTCCAGCACCTGAGAAAGGAAGTCCACGGCCTGCAGGACAACACAGTATACAGAAATACTAAATACAAACACACACAGAGTGAGTAAGAAATAAATTAGAATATGCACAGTTACACTTTTTTATAAAACAGAAATGGAGATCATAAACACTAATGCTATTTAAATTCTTCAGCAGAAAATTAAAACAAAAGAATAAAAAGGTTCAAAATCTGCATGTTGAGGAATATTGTCATATTGAACATTTCATGGTGAGATCATCATGGTTTTTACTACACCCTATCCACACTGAAGCTTAATGTGTTCATGTAAAAATAAAAGAAAAAATTCTCCTCCTCATGTTTCTCACGTAAAACAGCCCACTCTACATACCTTAGTCTGTGGACTGTGGATCTTGGCCTGGACCACTAGGCTCTCCAGAGGTGTCCGCAAAATCTCAGGGATGGGAAACGTGGTCATGGTTTCCAGCCGTTGTCGGGGAAACAAGTGATAGGCATGGCCAGGCTGGCATCGGCCCGCCCTGCCTCGCCGCTGAGTAACATTCGAGCGCGAGATCCAGACCGTATCCAGACACGAGACCTGAACACAGATTATTTCAGTATTTCAGTTTTAAGTTCTGCGTTTTGAGCTACAAGTAATAGTCTACTTTGGGGAGGTACAGTAAAAGCATACGGGAAATTACATTTCTAAAGATTATTTCTTTTCAAAATGATCAGCTATGTTTGGTGTCTGAAATTTGCTTCTTTGCTTTTGCACCAGAGCTGCGAGGCTAATGTAGCTAACAAGTAATGGAGGCTTATACTCCACCAGTTAGCATTAAATAGCAAGTAAAAGGAAATCCCAAATAAACTTGCTTATGTGGTTTCTGACACGGTATTTCACACTGTTAACTGTAACTGGTAAGTGTTGTTTTTATAGATAACAGTACTTCATTTTCTGCCAAACTATCCAGTTAGCAGGGAGGTTTATTTCCAGTTTCAGAGTCATGTCTAAATATTAGTACAAGGTTCTGGATCAGGGTTCAAAGTAAATTGTGATGGGAAGGTAAGTTTAAGAATGTGCTGTCCTAAGCTCTACACCGGTCTCACCTTAGTCCTGGGGTCGTAGCTCTGCTCCTTTTGAGAGCCCGCGTCCACAACATGGACAATGTCATCGATGGTGATGGAGGTTTCTGCGATGTTGGTTGCCAGGACAATTTTGCGTTGGCCCTCTGGGGGGCGCTGAAACACGGCCTGCTGGTCTGCTACAGACATGCTGGAGTGCACTTTGAGAGAGAGAGAGAGAGAGAGAGAGAGAGAGAGAGAGAGAGAGAGAGAGAGAGATTTAAGGCTGATGGATGATGCACTTAATGGACAAAAGTATTGGGACGCCTACAGGAGCTTTTATGACACCCATTCTAAATGCATAGGCGTTAATATGGAGTTGGTCCCTCCTTTGCAGCTTTAACAGCTTCCACTCTTCTGGGAAGGTTTTCTACAAGATTTTGGAATGAGTCTGTGGGAATTTTCACCCATTCATCTGGAAGAGCATTTGTGAGGTCAGACACTGATGTTGGACGAGAGGGCCTGGCTCGCAATCTCTGCTCTAATTCATCCCATAGGTGTTGGATGGGGTTGAGGTCAGGGCTCTGTGAGGGCCAGCCTTGTTCCTCCACACCAAACTCACACAGCCATGACTTTATGGACCTTGCTTTGTGCACTGGGGTTCAGTCATGCTGGAACAGAAAAGGGTCTTCCCCCAAACTGTTCCCACAAAGATGGAAGCATAGAATTGTCCAAAATGTCTTGGTCTACTGAAGCATTAAGATTTCCCTTCACTGGAACGGTCTCTAGACCAACCCCTGAAAAACAACCCCATAGCATCATCCCTCCTCCACCAAACTTTACAGTTTACACAATTCAGTCAGGCAGGTAATGTTCTCCTGGCATGGAGGGAATGAATTTTGAGACCTGTCTTGTTGCATCCTATTGCAGTACCATGCTCGAAATCAGTGGGCTCTTTAGAATGACTCGCTCTTACAGCAAAAGTTTGTAAAGACAGACCTCATGCCTAGGTACTTGATTTTAAACACTTATGGCAATGGGACTGAATGAAACACCTGAAATTAATGATTAGGAGGTGTGTCCCAGTACTTTTGTCCATATAGCGTATGTAAGGCTGGAACGACAGTGAAAAAGTACACTTCTCAATAAAATGAAATAAATAATAAGTAAATCTGTAAATAATAGTACAATGTCATTTTAGCCCATGTATTAAACCCTCTTACATGGTAGGACCATCTGAGAGCCTGATTTGAAGGCCTGCCTCTCCTCCAGCTTCTGCTGAACAGCTTTTATTTCCTGCCAGCCGGGCAGAAAACACAGCACTGCACCTGCAGGCCGGAAACACAGAAGAAAGAAAACGCAGGTGAGGAGAAGAAATAAATGGCACACTGACTCACTTCTGCAGCTGTGAAACTTTTCCAGATTTGATGCGACACAGAAACAGAGTGAGGGCAAAAGAAGCGAGCAGAAAGAGAGCATAAGAGAAAAAAACAGAAAGAATGAAAATGTGTGTGTATGGAGACAGTCCTGTTTACCTGGCTCTCCTCGTGTGTGAATGTGGTCAATCACATTGGCCACTAAATCAAGATCAGGGGATGCATCTTCTGGTCCCTTCTTGAAGAAGAAAAAAAGTCTGGTGAAATTTATGTGTAGTTCTACAGTTACAGACTGTAGTCCATCTGTTTCTCTGCATACTTTGTTAGCCCACTTTTACCCTGTTCTTCAGTGCTCAGGACCCCCATGGACCCTCACAGTATAGGTACTATTTGGGTGGTGGATCCTTCTCAGCACTGCAGTAACACTGACGTGGTGGTGGTGTGTTAGTGTGTGTTGTGCTGGTACGAGTGGATCAGACAAAGGGGGGTAAAAGGGGGTTAACAAAGTATGCAGAGAAACAGATGGACTACAGTCTGTAACTGTAGAACTACAAAGTGCACCTATATAGTAAGTGGAGCTGATAAAATGGACAGTGAGCGTAGAAACAAGGTCATAATGTTATGCCTGATCGGTGTATACATTCCAACTATTTTATATAAATTTTTTTTTCTCACTTGATGCACCATTTTTGTACTAATTAAGCCTTTTTCCTTTTTTTAATTTGATTTCATTTTATTCCATTACTTGCATTACTATTCCTATCTGTGTGTTTTACTTTGCAGTTTAAATATTTGGTGGTCTACGTTTACATTTAAGGCATTTAGCACCTGATCTCATCCAGAGTGATTTACAGTTTGATCATTTTACATAGGTAGGCGAAGGTAGTGTTAGGAGTGTTGCCCAAGGACTCTTATTAGTACAGAATAGGATGTTCGCCCAGGCAGGGGATCAAACCCAGTCTGCAGCACGAAGTATTATCCACTACACTACACCAGCCACACAGTCTACTGTATGTGTGGTAGAACTCAAGTATGAATTTTGTCACTGTATAAATGTAACAGGACTCAGGTATGGATGTCTATGTTACTGTATAAGTGTAGTAGGACTCAGGTATGGATGTCTATGTTACTGTATAAGTGTAGTAGGACTCAGGTTATGGATGTCTATGTTACTATATAAGTGTAGCAGGACTCAGGTATGGATGTCTATGTTACTGTATAAGTGTAGTAGGACTCAGGTATGGATGTCTATGTTACTGTATAAGTGTAGTAGGACTCAGGTATGGATGTCTATGTTACTATATAAGTGTAGCAGGACTCAGGTATGGATGTCTATGTTACTGTATAAGTGTAGTAGGACTCAGGTATGGATGTCTATGTTACTATATAAGTGTAGTAGGACTCAGGTATGGATGTCTATGTTACTATATAAGTGTAGTAGGACTCAGGTATGGATGTCTATGTTACTGTATAAGTGGTAGAACTCAGGTATGGATGTCTGTTACTGTATAAGTGTAGTAGGACTCAGGTATGGATGTCTATGTTACTGTATAAGTGGTAGAACTCAGGTATGGATGTCTATGTTACTGTATAAGTGTAGTAGGACTCAGGTATGGATGTCTATGTTACTATATAAGTGTAGCAGGACTCAGGTATGGATGTCTATGTTACTGTATAAGTGTAGTAGGACTCAGGTATGGATGTCTATGTTACTATATAAGTGTAGTAGGACTCAGGTATGGATGTCTATGTTACTGTATAAGTGGTAGAACTCAGGTATGGATGTCTGTTACTGTATAAGTGTAGTAGGACTCAGGTATGGATGTCTATGTTACTATATAAGTGTAGCAGGACTCAGGTATGGATGTCTATGTTACTGTATAAGTGTAGTAGGACTCAGGTATGGATGTCTATGTTACTATATAAGTGTAGTAGGACTCAGGTATGGATGTCTATGTTACTATATAAGTGTAGTAGGACTCAGGTATGGATGTCTATGTTACTGTATAAGTGGTAGAACTCAGGTATGGATGTCTGTTACTGTATAAGTGTAGTAGGACTCAGGTATGGATGTCTATGTTACTGTATAAGTGGTAGAACTCAGGTATGGATGTCTATGTTACTGTATAAGTGTAGTAGGACTCAGGTATGGATGTCTATGTTACTATATAAGTGTAGCAGGACTCAGGTATGGATGTCTATGTTACTGTATAAGTGTAGTAGGACTCAGGTATGGATGTCTATGTTACTATATAAGTGTAGTAGGACTCAGGTATGGATGTCTATGTTACTATATAAGTGTAGTAGGACTCAGGTATGGATGTCTATGTTACTGTATAAGTGGTAGAACTCAGGTATGGATGTCTGTTACTGTATAAGTGTAGTAGGACTCAGGTATGGATGTCTATGTTACTGTATAAGTGGTAGAACTCAGGTATGGATGTCTATGTTACTGTATAAGTGTAGTAGGACTCAGGTATGGATGTCTATGTTACTATATAAGTGTAGCAGGACTCAGGTATGGATGTCTATGTTACTGTATAAGTGTAGTAGGACTCAGGTATGGATGTCTATGTTACTATATAAGTGTAGTAGGACTCAGGTATGGATGTCTATGTTACTGTATAAGTGGTAGAACTCAGGTATGGATGTCTGTTACTGTATAAGTGTAGTAGGACTCAGGTATGGATGTCTATGTTACTATATAAGTGTAGCAGGACTCAGGTATGGATGTCTATGTTACTGTATAAGTGGTAGAACTCAGGTATGGATGTCTGTTACTATATAAGTGTAGTAGGACTCAGGTATGGATGTCTATGTTACTATATAAGTGTAGCAGGACTCAGGTATGGATGTCTATGTTACTGTATAAGTGGTAGAACTCAGGTATGGATGTCTGTTACTATATAAGTGTAGCAGGACTCAGGTATGGATGTCTATGTTACTGTATAAGTGTAGTAGGACTCAGGTATGGATGTCTATGTTACTATATAGTGTAGTAGGACTCAGGTATGGATGTCTATGTTACTATATAAGTGTAGTAGGACTCAGGTATGGATGTCTATGTTACTGTATAAGTGGTAGAACTCAGGTATGGATGTCTGTTACTGTATAAGTGTAGTAGGACTCAGGTATGGATGTCTATGTTACTGTATAAGTGGTAGAACTCAGGTATGGATGTCTGTTACTGTATAAGTGTAGTAGGACTCAGGTATGGATGTCTATGTTACTGTATAAGTGTGACTGAACTCAGGTATGGATGTCTGTGTTACTGTATAAGTGTGACTGAACTCAGGTATGGATGTCTATGTTACTGTATAAGTGGTAAAACTTCTGTCATATCATTGCATCCCTACTCGTCCATTTGCCTCAACACCATGATTTCCCTTACCCGCGTGTCTCTTTCCTCCATGGATACCAGCTTCGGCTGCCGTCCCATCTCCTTCAGCACATCCTCCAGGTACCTCTCCTTCACGGGGTACATGAAGCCTGGCACGTGCACCACAGGGCAGCCTCCGAAGTACTGGGCCAGGCGCTGGGTGTCCCCTGTGGCGCTCATGAGGACCACGCGGAGCTCTGGGTTCTCTCTCAGAGCGCAGTGCAGCAGAGCCAGCAGCAGGTCTGTGTTCACGTCCCGCTCGTGCACTTCGTCCACCAGCACGTGACTCACCCCTTGCAGGGATGGGTTGCTCTGCAGCTTCCGCAGGAGAACGCCCACCGTGAGGAAGAGGAGGGCGCCACCGCTGCGCTCCGGCGGTCGAGACTCCAGACGCACCTGCAGTTGACACGATGGAGATAAAAGGAAGGTTTCAGAATTACAAAGTAAAGTCATTCAGAGTGGTTGGATGTGAAAGAGCAGGGAAAAAAACAGAACATGCAGGACAGGGGAAGGTCCAGGAGAATCAGGGATGCCCAAAGTTGGCCTGTGAGGACATTTGACTTAGGCTGGCAGAAAGTTACCCTAACCTCACTCCCTCAGCCAGTGAGAGAACTAACACGTTTAGGAAGTGGACCATGTGTGGCCCCACTTTTATTAGAGAGGGAGCAAACGTATGAATTTTTAATTTGACTAAGAATTTGACTTGACCTAAAGAAGGCATGAGCCACTATGTGTGGGCATTTTTTACATAGTTAATACTTAATACATAATAAAGACAATATAGGCACTTTTTATTTAATGAGTGCCATGGTTTGGAGAGTTTTTCTCTTTTTTCTCCCTTTTTCCTCAAAGAATTTGACTACCAATGAAAAAAAAAATATTGCCTGCTATTTCTCCCTCTCTGTTTCTGACCGCAGTAAGACCTTTTATCTCAAAACAGGATCTCGAGATTCATGATTATGTTGAAATAATGGTCTATATTCTTGAGAATCGGACTGATTATGTAGACATAATGGCTTATATTCTCAAGATTTTAACTAATAAAGTTGTAATAACAGCTGATTTTCTCAAGATTTTGACTTATCATGTTGAGATGTCTTATTTTCTCAAGATTTCGACTGATTTTGCTGAAATAATGGCTTATTTGCAACCAGACACTTCCACAATGTTACACACAATAAATGTAGCACTATTCTTTTTACCCTCGTACATTAAAAACACACCTATGTACAAATTATTAAAGACGACTAATGTTTGATAGTTTCAACACGTTTTAGCATCAGTTAACACCCTTATTTGAGGTCTTACAGTTAAAAAAGTGTGTTTCTTATTAAATATTAAAAAAAAATCTCAATTTGAAGCCTATCTTCTTTAATTTGTACACTGACTTGTTTTCTAGGCTCAAGACAAACACTGCACTTTGCCCCCCGCAATATTAATGCTACCACTGCTGCGACTCTGTGCTCTATCAACCTCCCATCTCTGAAGAACTGATCTGAACTGAACGCGTCACACCTGGTAGCCGACACAGTGCCGGAGGGCGGGGCCCATCTCCTGAGAGACGCGCTGAGCCACTGAGACTGCGCTGATCCTACGTGGCTGAGTGACCAGGATGTTGCAGTGGGCGCCTGCCCCGCCCCTCACACGCCCCTCCAACAAGAAACGCGGGATCCGTGTGGTCTTCCCGCAACCCGTCTCCCCAGCAACAACCAGCACCCGCGAGGCCTCCACCGCCTCCACTAGCCGCTCCCTATGAGAGTCCACAGGAAGCTCCGCCCCCCGCGCTGGCCCTGCCCTCTCCCACTTCTTCTGCAGACTGGAACTCAGACGCTCCGCCTCCTCTGGGCTCAGGGCACGGTACGGCCGGCCGGTGATGGGATCCGGGATAGGATCGTCATCATCATCAACATCCTCCTCGTCGTTCTCGGCAAGTGAGGAAAGCTGCCTCTCCGCTTGCTCTTCCTCTTCATCCCACAGCTTCTGCATCTCTGCCTCCAGTGGATACTGAGCAGAAAGAGAGGAAACAACACAGAAATCATGAACTGAAGCCCAAGTTAGATCAAGAAAGTCACAAGAGTAATAGCTCTGGGATCAACAACAGGAGTAAGGTAAATAAATGTGTTGTACATTTTAATTACTGGCCGGTCATTGATATACGGTCAGTTCATTTATTTTATTAGTAGTACAGCTTTAACACTAGAATATGTCACAGCGGTAATTTTGATCATTTTGAAATTAGGAGACGTGATCATTTTGATGATCCCTGACTTTTATTAAAATATTGCATAAGGCCATTAGTGGTCAAAATAACATACGGCAATAAAACAGCTCAAAACTCAGTTTAAATCCTGCTCTATACATTTATTTATCAAGCAGTGCTTTTGAACAACATCCCAAATGTTTTAAGCCTGGATAAAATGTCCACACTGTGCTGTTCTCACGCTGTGCAGTGCTGAGAAAGAGAGATGTCAGCCTTCTCTTGTTTAATTCTAAAACTCTTTCTTTCAGCACATAAAACGTGTTACACACTATGTAGTGAAAATATAACAAAATTATTTTACGAACAAATTAAACGTCCACTTGGCTGCACTAAACTGAACTTTTCTGCTTGTTCTCGATGCACGTTTTGCACACGTCCATTTTCTTATGGCCGTGGGCCTCGTGAACCTCAATGAACCATTTGCTGTTTTAAATGTATTTTCTCACATATTTTTTTAATTAATGCTGCTTTAAAAGCTCAAATGTCCCACGAAGCTTCATCAAAGCGTTAATTTAATAAGCTGCCAGGAGACACACCTGAGTGAGGTAATCTCTTATGCTCTGCTCCAGCTCCTCTGGTATTTCCACCCGGCATGGTCTCCTCTCCCGCTCTCCTGCCTCCCGCACCTCCTCCTGGTGGTACTTGGCATGAGTGAGGGGGTTATTCTGTTCGTCCAGCAGATTCAGCTCCTAAAGATATAAGAACAATAACAGCCGTCTCAATTTACTCTTTCTGATTGGCTGCAGCAAATTCTAACATGCCTGCATGGGGGCACCACTGTCAACCGGTTGCTTTTTCTTGAGCTTTTTTAATGAACATTTATCACCATATCTGATTTTGGGTTTTACACTTAAGTCAAGGTAGATAAAATTTTATCACACCATTATTTTTAAGAAAAATAAATAAATAAATAAATAAACAACAGATAAAACATACAACGATGAGCCGAAACATTTTGACCCTTCACAGATGAATCAAGTGAACGTTGATTATCTTGCAACAAAAATGCATGTCAAGCTCTGCACACTCAAAAAAGATGGTCCTTCAAGGGTTCTTTAGAAAAGAAAATGTTCCATGTAGGACTCTGAACACTCAAAGAACTTTTTGCATGATTAAAGAGTTCTTTGCATCATGAAGGCGTGCTTCAGATTGATAGGGAATTTGCTGTAGATGGTTCTTTTGGAAAGGGTTCTATATAGCACCCAAAAGTAACAAGCCTGATATTATAACAATAGAACCTTTTTTTAGTGCTATATAGAACCCTTTTAAACGTTCTATATAGAACCATCTACAGCACATTAGCCATTAATCTAAAGAACTCTTTCATGTTGCAGAGAACTCTTTAATCATGCAAAGAGTTCTTTAAGTGTTCATGGTCCTACACAAAACCATTTTCTTTACTAAAGAACCCTTGAAGAACCATCTTTTTAAGTGTGTGGGATTCATTAGATGGTAAGGGAAGCTGGTTCTCGTAGTTGCTGTGCTGGATGCAGGAGAAACAGGCACTGACCTGAGCATTTTTGACCAGGGCCAAATCGTAATGGTCAGGCGACCGTGTTGGAGCATCTCGTAAATAGCAAGGCTTCTGGAGTGCTCCCGGTCAGCAGTAGTGAGTATTTATGGACAGTGGTCCGAGGACGGACAAACCACAAAATGGCTACAGGCTCACTGATACAGAAAAGCAACAAAGGCTGTCCCCTCTGGTCTGCATACAATGGGCTTGCAAGTGTCAGAACTGGACCTTGGAGCAATGGAATAAGGTTGCCTGGTCCTTTGAGTTCCATTTCCTTGTATATATCTTGTGACATCACATGACCAGCCAGGTACATGTGTGCCGTTTACCTGAGGAAGTGATGGCACCAGGATGCGCTGTGGACCAGGTACACCCCTTCACTGCACTGATATTCCCCAATGGAAGTGGCCTCTTTCAGCAGGAAAATGTCTCCTGCCACTCTGTACACATCTCAGTCTGATCGAGCACCTGTAGGATGTTCTGAAACCGCAATTCTAATCCTCAGTGGCTCCACTTTACAATTTGCAGGATTCACAAGGATCTGCTGCTAACGTCTTGGTGCTAGATAGTACAAGGCACCTTCAGAGGTTCTGCAGAGTCTTGTACCTAGGCAGTTCGGAGCTGTTTTAGTGGCACGCGGAGAACCAACAGCATATTAGGCAGATGGACATAATGTTTTGACTCATCACTGTAAATCAGCTCTGATGTATCTTATACATTCTGAAATAATCCATATGGTTTATTGTAAAAAGTTTATTCTCGAACAATTTTAAGGTTCTCCAGTAAACGCTGACATGTTTTACACAGACCTTAAGTCTGAGGCAGGCGAGGGCAGCGGCTCGTGTCTCCGCCTCCAGCCTCCGGCGGCCGAGGGCAGTGAAAGTCATCTTTTCGGGCCAGTGCAGAGTCAGCTGACACTCCTTCACCTTCCCTCCCACCGTCTTGTACTGCAGCAGCTCCTGAGGACCAGGAGGAACCAAGAATGTGGAGAAAAAGGAATTGTGAGTGACTGTTCATGAAACACGGTTTTCCTATTAAAAACAGCTTAAAGATAAAATGAATGTGAATTCTGCACTGACAGTTACAAGAGGAAATGTGGCACTTTAATCCACTGTTTCCATATTGGAAGAAATATAGTGACTTATCATGGTTTGAGGCAAGTGTGTGAAGATTTACATGATGATAATTGGTGGGGTACCACCTTGTAGTACTTGTATTACCTACATTAGCCTCACAGCTCCAGTGAAAAACTAAAGAAGCAAACTTCTGAGTTCTTCACTTTAGACTCTAAATACATCTTGGCTGACTGACTAAATTTGGGGCAAAGGGGGAAAATTTTGTACAAAGGAATTTGTGTTAAGTATTCCTTTAAGACAGAACCAACACTTACTCTGATTCTACTAGACGATGTGGCCACTTGAACAACTTTCACCAGTAGCGCCTTTGGCTTTGAGAAGATGGCAAGCGCCTCCGAGACTTTAGGATCCTCCTCCACCAGCCTAGAACCAAAGACAGATGCAAACAATGAAAGGTCTATGATATACGTTCATTAAAGTCTAACGGCTGGCTTCCCAGACACAGATTAAGTCTAGTCTTAGACTAAATTGCAGTTCCAATGGAGAACAATTCTTCTCAGTCTGGGCTTTTTCTGGGCTTAATCTAGGTCTGGGACACCCAAATGCTCTATGGCTCTATGTGCTATAGATTTTGGCAAGGCTTGACAACAAATAAGACATTAGGACATTCTAGGCTTAATCCTGAGCTATCAAATGAAACATTAAGCTATAATCTATTTCAGTTTAGTCTAGGCTTAATTTTAGCATTGATCTAGGACTTTGAAACTGCCTCTATATGCTAGAGATTTTGGCAAGTCTTGAAAGCAAATAAGACTTTTGGCTGTAATCTAGTTATCCTTATTCTAGACTTAACCCTAGGCTTAAACTAGGTCTGGGAAACTGGTCCTACACACCATTGATTTTGGAATCTCAAAAACAAAGACGGGAGTAAATGTCATGGCTTACAGTATGGTTGGACTTCAAACTCTACACATTGTGAATGAGTGGTGACCTTACCTTGGGCTTTCTGCAGTCCCTCGTGTTCTGTTCTTCAGAGTCCTCGATGGCTCCAGTCTGTCACACACATCCCCGTCAGCATCCTCCAAGAAAGAGGACTGCCACCCCGGCCGCCTGGCCAGCCTCCTTCTGGGCAGCTGGTTCCCTGGACCCAAAACTCCCAGCTCCTGTTGACACAGTCATACAAGCTTAGTAGGGCTGTCAAGATCAAATTATATACAATTATATTGGATATATTGGATTACTCTGGAATTATATACAAAAGTGTCCATTTGAATGTTTAAACAACTGTGGCTGAACTCTGTTCCAAGACAAAGTGATGTCAATACACATGTAGCCAAATCACATGTTAACTTTTCATTCGCTTCTATTGTTTAACAGCTCGGATATCAGAAAGTGAGCAACATGATGGGAAAACCGTGCACCGGGAATATAAGATTCAGAGGACGCAAACATTTTTTTAATAAACTGCGTGGCTTTGAAGTATTGAGAGAGAAATGGCAAATAAGAATCATGTACACTAAGTTATTCGGGAGATTATGTAGTTATGCTGGATTTAAGAGATTTAACACTGCCTACACTGTATTTACTGCAGTTACGTAGCTGAGCAAGGCACCTAACCCCCAACTGCTCCCCGGGCGCCGTGGACAGGGCTGCCCACCACTCCGGGCAAGTGTGCTCACTGCCCCCTGGTGTGTTTGTGTGTGTTTACTAGTGTGTAAGTGGTGTTTCACTGCACAGATGGGTTAAATTGCGGAGGTGAAATTTCCCCATTGTGGGACTAATAAAGGGTCACTTAGCTGGCTTATTTCTTTGCATCTTGAAAAAGAAGACATTTAAAATTCAAATATATTTGGGGAAAAAAGGAGAAAAGCTACGTCTCAGTAGGAAAATGCAAGCAGTATAGCTGTCATGGTCCAGTAGTTAGTGATATGAGCAGCAGCTATGGTTTTAGTAGTTCCTAGTGATGTAGGAATATCTCCCAGGTGTTTATAGAATAAAAGACAAATAAACTGGCCAACTACTAAAGCAACTAAGCAAAGACAAAAAAGTTTTTTTTTTGTCATAATCCTCTGACAAATGTCAAAATAATTTGGCGGAGACACACAGCCACAAGAGCAGGAATTGTGGGTAAATATTTTGACATAACTCATATGTTTTTTTCATGTCATTTTGTTTTGTTATCATACACATTCGTTATTTTATCAGAGCTGGTTTATGAGGAGTCTGGCCACTTCCTTTTTTCCCCCCATTATATCAAAAACAGGTCTGCTAATCAGCAGAGGGCGCCTGCGAGTGAGTCCTCAATGAATGGGAGTGAATGGAGCTCAACGGCTAAAAACGAAAAGTTAAAATAGTTTCTAGTCACTGAACCAGAACGTTTCTTTCATTTTAGAAAGAAGAAGGAGGTATTTTAACAGCAAATAGGTTTTGGGCAGCAGAAGGCGGGCATTACTGCTACTGAGTGATGATTGATTGGCGAGCGGAGCAGCTCATTGGCTGTTCGCACTCACTGACATCATGAACGTACATGAGGCGCCGTTTTAATCTCCTGTTACTTGAGTTTAAAAGCTCTTAAAAATATAACAGCAGTGCTGAAATGTTTTGTCCTGTTCTGTGTTCAGGAAATTATTGTATTCTTTTACATTAAAAATGTTTAAGCATTTATAAACTGTGATTTTGCTCAAATGCTCCATATCAACCCATTCATTTTGGACTCCTCTTGGGTTTGAGAAACCTGGAAGACATTGCAGCGTGGTAATGCTCCTCTCCACAAGTTCTCTGATTTTATCATGTTTATTAAGTCATACGGTGACAGCGCCTCCCCTGTTCAAGCTCTGCATTGGCAGGCAGTCTGATTTCTCTAGTATGCGTGCTGCCCACCTTTACTCAGATAAACAGCACCATTTTAGTTTCGTCCATCTCCTTCGTTTTTCTCCATCTGAGCTACAAAATGAACTTTAAGCCTCAGCAACTTGAGGGATCAGCTAATGTGAGCAGAAAAAGTTCATTATAGCAAAGTGAATCGAAACTCCAGCAACAAACCGAGTGATTCAAATATAATCCAGCCAGCTTTGATTCATTTCTGTAATTTAGTTTAAAATGTTTCTGAACAACCAGAAAAATGAAAAGATGAAGCAGATAAGTGATCATGAATTCAAATGTTCATTTACAAGTATAAATAAAAATAAAAACACAATGAAAACACAAAATTAATTAGGCTAAACCTTGCGTTGTACTGGTGTTTTGGCCTGCTGTAGAAGACCAGCGTGCCAGGCTACAGCTGAACGGGCAGCACAAAGTTTGAAAGCTATAAATAAATGAATAAATAAATAACATAACATAATAATCACTGTTTTTTAAATAATCTATCTAAAAAATCTTTTAAGTAATAGCTGCCTCTTACAGAGACCGCTTTTCACACGCATGTATACCCCACTTTCGGAAGGTTAGAACGGTCAGGACGTGGTCTAAAGCTGGTTATCAGCAAAGTCCCACCAAATGTGCCACACTCTTCTGTCCCTTCTCTTACTGTATGTAGGAGCTGTAGTTGCTCCTGTGTACAGCTATCTTGTGACAAGCAGTCTAGTTCATGTTGGAGTACATGTACATGTACTACCCAGCACCTACCAAGAGGGCTGGACATATGACTGCTATCTTTAATTATATTATTACATAATGATAAGTAAGAACTCATAAAAGGTGGGGCTGCTACTCACTCTCAGCCTGTGGCAGGCAGCTGCTGCGGCACGGCGCTCCGCCTCCACTTTCCGAGAGCCGAACCCCTCCACTTCAATCCTCTGAGGCCAAAGCAGCGTCACCGTCGCCCTCTACAACAATAACAAGACGTTCAGTAAAACTTCTCATTTCTGTGAGTCAATTCTTCAGAACTTTACATGCAGCGAGGCTCGAGTCTCAGCGTCGCCCCCTGCCGGCCTGACTGACCACCAACACACAGATCCGGCCTGACTGACCACCAATACACAGAGATCCGGCCTGACTGACCACCAACACAGCAATGCATCTCAAAACTATCATTAAAAATAATGATCAAAATAATTACTGACTTTCTGAGTCTAAATAACGGCTTCTGATCACTATAATTCAAGATTCAGTAACTCATTATCTCGACATTTCGTCATAATGTCGTCTTAACTGAAATCACGAGAAAAAATATTGCGTTTCTAATGAAATATTTCCAGGAAATTAGTCATTATTTCGAGATACGTCACTATTTTGAGATATTAAGTCGTTATTTATAGAAGTCATTTTTTCGAGTTAATATTTTTGATATTAACAATGATATTGTTAATATATCCAGAAAATAAGTTATTTCGAGATATTAAGTCAATCTTTCTAGTAAATAAGTCATTATTTCGAAATACCAAGTCAATAGTTCTATAAAATGGCGTCGTTTCGACTTAATATTTTGATATTTTGTCTGACAAAGAGAGTAAAAAAAAAGGACATCAGCTATTTTTCCTCTGCTTGGAGGCAGGGTTGCCAGATTTCTTCAGTGTTTTTCAGCCAAAAAAATTCTTCAGAACTTTACATGCTAACAAGACTCATGATTCACAATATGTCACTAAAGTGCAGTTTACAAATGTGAAAGCACTGCTTGGCATATTGAGTGAGAGTCTATGACTGACTGTGCACTGGGTGCTGCAGTGTGTACAGTGAGTGTACCTTAACCTCCCCATCCGTGCAGTGGTACCGAATATACCGAGACACATCAGAGCGGCCCAGGGATCTAGACAGGGTCGAGTGCAGGAGACTCTTCGCCTGGGGAAACTCCATAAGGAAGTCGGACTGACCTGCCGATCAAACATAGTTGGGTTTTCAGTGATCATTTCCCTCATAAATTAAACACTATAATACACAACCACTAACACTACAGTCTATAGTAATAGCACAGGAGCATAAGGGAAATTTCAGACATTATTAAAGTTTATACAATTATTATAGATTAATACAAGGCAGCACTAAAGGAATAATATTTGGCGGTTAAGATATTCTAGATTATTACAGAAATTGTAAAAGTATACAACACTGCAGAAATCTAATAACAACAAAAAGTATCAAAGTACAATAAAGTGGTTTAAATGTACAAAAGGGAGAATTAGATCAACAGCTATGAGAACAAGTCCAGAAACAGCTGGAACGCATCACAAGGAGAGGTTAAAGGGACTTTCTGGCCTAAAACCAGAGTTTACTATGTTACCTGATGTTATTGCAGTTTTCTGTAGTGCAGTTTTAAACTGCTGAGCCTCACTGACTTCACAGTGTTTATGATTACATTGAAGGCATAATGCGTGTGTTCTCTCACTACACTTCCCAGCATGCTTTATGCAAATACATCATGAAACCACTGTGTGGGTTAGAAAACTCCCCTCACTGGACTGTGTGTGTGTCAGGGCTGTTCCAGTGGAGCGGCTCTGTGTTTTGCTGTGTTTTAATGGTATTGAGGTGTAAGCCCTGCTGTGTTGTGTTCAGGTTGTTGGTGATGATGATGAGGAGAGAGTCTGTCCTCTTCCTCTCTGACCTCTCTCTGTGTCCCTCGCTGTGTCCCTCTCCGCTCCTCCTCGGTCCTCTGCTCTGGTCCGGTATCTGCTCGTCCAGCTCCAGCTGGACCCGATCCGGACTCGGGTTTCCACAGTCCGTGACAACAGTTTACAGAGAGCCCGGACACGCATCATACCGGCACAGTGCGCCGCCATCTTTACCAAGGGAGACGCGCTGCAGCAAGGCTCGAGTCTCAGCGTCGCCCCCTGCCGGCCTGACTGACCACCAACACACAGATCCGGCCTGACTGACCACCAATACACAGAGATCCGGCCTGACTGACCACCAACACAGCAATGCATCTCAAAACTATCATTAAAAATAATGATCAAAATAATTACTGACTTTCTGAGTCTAAATAACGGCTTCTGATCACTATAATTCAAGATTCAGTAACTCATTATCTCGACATTTCGTCATAATGTCGTCTTAACTGAAATCACGAGAAAAAATATTGCGTTTCTAATGAAATATTTCCAGGAAATTAGTCATTATTTCGAGATACGTCACTATTTTGAGATATTAAGTCGTTATTTATAGAAGTCATTTTTTCGAGTTAATATTTTTGATATTAACAATGATATTGTTAATATATCCAGAAAATAAGTTATTTCGAGATATTAAGTCAATCTTTCTAGTAAATAAGTCATTATTTCGAAATACCAAGTCAATAGTTCTATAAAATGGCGTCGTTTCGAGTTAATATTTTGATATTTTGTCTGACAAAGAGAGAAAAAAAAAAGGACATCAGCTATTTTTCCTCTGCTTGGAGGCAGGGTTGCCAGATTTCTTCAGTGTTTTTCAGCCAAAAAAATGTCCAAAATCTATCCACCAAAAACGCATCAAAACCACCAAAAAAAGTACAAACACCCAAAACCCGAAGGTCAGCATTTGAACCCTGATGCTAAATATAACAGCATTTAATCCAACATGGCTCAGTATCAAACTGCTGAATCTCAGCCTCGGAAACGCGCAGCTGTTTAAACCGCCGCCAGATGGCGCTGTCGCTCTTTGAGTTCATTGTCACTGGTTCGAATAAAGAAACCAAAGGTTTTCCATGCTGTTTTTAGTCCCCCTGTCAATCATCATCTTAAAAAGGCCTGGACGAAGAAACTCAGTTCAATAACACAATAAAACATGATAAATGATTTGATCTGTATGTTTATCTTAAATAACCTGCAGCTGTTTCACTCATCAGTGTTTTCAGTGTTTACTCAAATTTCAGCAGCTTTATTAAGCATCACAGTTTATCAGTTTATTATCTATATAATACAAGACGACTGCTCGTCAAGTGGTTTAAGTGGTTTGAGGTGGTTTGACTGGCTTTGAAAATTCAAATGATGACACGGACAGATTTCAGGCTAGATTTAAATCCCACTGAGAATGTGTAGAGGAGGAAAAACCCACCCACTGTGTAGGGTCTGTGAACTACAGTGAGGAAAGAGTGAGAAGCAGTTCATTAAAATCATTTGAAAACTTTCTGAAAGTCTGATAAACCTGTTATTTTATTTTTCAGTAGCTGCTCTTAATGAGAAGCTTTCACAGTAGAAGCTTCTCATATGGACAGTTAGAAATAGATGTTAAGTGTGTGAATGCGAAGGTCTGCTTCAGTACTGGTTTTAGAATTCATTTTAGAGGCCAGTTTACTGGACTAAGTCTAGCTTTGGACCGAAAACTGCAAAACTGGCCTTAGATTATGTGTACACTGTTAGAAATAAAGGTTCTGTGCAGGTCCATTTTTTGTTCATCAAGGTACAAACAATGTAAATGTTCCCCCAAAGGTACAACAGTGGTTTTAAGGTCCAACTGTGAACCTTAAATATGTTCTCCCAGGTGAAATGTTCATATTTATACCTATAAAAGTGTTTTAAAACAGAACAATAAAATAAAAGCCTGAAGACGAGTCGGGGTGTGTGGAGTCAGTACAACTTAGGGAAATATAACTTCAGTGGATTATGGTACGTTCCCTGACTAAAGGTACTGAGATGTACCATTGAGGGTCCCACCCCAGTGAGAAGAGGGGAACTGCCCCAGTGACAATTTACTACAATTTTTTTCCGAGAGTGCACAAACAACTACCTCACTAATAAACAATGTGGGTTGGTCATTAAGGCTAGAGAAGGACCAACAAATTACACGCTTAAAAGCATGTCTCTTCAGCGTTCTTTAGTAAAGAAAACGGTTCTATATAGAACCATGAACACTCAAAGAACCCTTCGTATGAAGAGTTAAAGGGTTCGTTGTATCATGAAATGATTTTATCATGTTGCTATTGTGCTGAAGGTTTTATATGGCACCAAAAAGGGGTTATTGCCCTTAGGGCTATTGTTACGATATCAAGCTTGTTACAATACAAGAACCCTTTTTGGTGCCATATAGAACCATATGCAACACGTTCTCCATCAATCTGAAGAACTATTTCATCATGCAAAGAAGCATTTAGTCATGCAAATAGTTCTTTTAGTGTTCATGGTTTTATAAAGAACCATTTTCTTTATTAAAGAACCCTTAAAAACCATCTTTTTTAAAAGTATACTATTAAGAATACTGAGTTGTCAATTTCGCTGGGATAGGCTCCAGCACCCCACCGCGACCCAGAAGGATAAGCGGTTTAGATGATGGATGGATGGATGGAGTTGTCAATTTCAATGATCTTTACAAAAAATAAAACCTTTGAGCAACAACTATTGGTTGCCAATGCTTGTTGAACAAAACATATTTTTTTCAAAAATATTAAAATAAGAAATGATTAATACAAATAATTATTTATTCCTCAGAAACTTGTTTCCAGGGATGAATCACGGTCTTGAAAAGCCCCCAGAGACCCCTTACACTCCAAAAATAACACACTAACTAGAAAAGTGCATTTTGTGAAGAAAACGAGGAGCGAAAAACACAAGCAATTCCCAGGTGGTTGCTAGGGTTTTGGTCAACATGGTATTATAGGCAGTTACTGGGCTGTTGTTAGGTATTTGCCATTGTACTCCAGGCAGACGGTTGCTATGGTATCTCAAGTGGTTACTAGGGTGTTTCTAGGCAGTTGCATCAGTGTTGTAGGTGTTTGCTCTGGTTGCATTTCCTTAATGTTTTTTTTCTGTTTTCTTTTTGGAGTTATTGACTGATATTTGCCAGAATCCTCATATTGCAATAAACATCTTATGCGTACACGTTTAAATTCACTAAACAGATGTCTCAACAATTCTCTCTCTGAAAGAGAACAAGACTATTAAGTTTTAAACCATATGGTTTATAGATCAGATTAGCACCAAAAGTTGAGAGTTATTTTCAGATATGACCCCCCTCTTATTTTTAGGCTTTGCTGGAAACATTTTACCCAGCAAATGTGGCCCAACACCCAGAAAGCCAAATGAGATCCCACCGCAAATCATGAGTGCCGCTGTCAGAGCAACAGAAATACTGCAGCCCAGATATGATCAGCTGGGACAGCAGAAATCACAGAAAACCATCTGAAGCAGTCGGACGGACGAGAACATGCTGGTCCATGAGGCCAGTCACGTCTGTTCCATCTGCGGGTCACGGACAGCATCTTGGGCCGCTGGGATCTGAACCTGAATCCAGGTCCACGAGGGAGAGCTTAAGTCTAGATTACACACACTTGCATCAAACCGTCTTGCATCAAACAGTTGTTTAATAGTCTCGGACAAGTTTATGTGGTTTCTGATGCTGAACCACATACTGTTATTTAAAGGAATGGACAACAGTACAGACACGATTTGGTCTTAAAAACGGCTGCTGCTTTTGCTTTTAGCTATTAAAGGTCAATTTGTACAGATAACAGTACAGCATACTGTTAAACTAACAGTGAACCTATATACTATATATATACACCAAATACTGGTTGGCTCAAGAACAACATTTGGTATAATGGAGAGAAATGATGTACTTTTTTGTTTTACTATTTCTTTAAGGAGGAATTCCACCAAAATCTTTGGAATTTTGGTGGAATTAAGATGTAAACTCAGACATTCAGAGTGGTTTAGTGTGAAATGCTTTGGTCTAGAGAAACTTAGCGGGTCAGAGTTGTTCACAGTGGTGATGACGGCCTAAAAGATTTTTTAAAATTCCACACACGGTTGAGTTTCACTAGCAATGTTTAACTACACAATTAAAAATTATAGTTCTTACAGGGTTCTTTAGCAAAAAATGGTTCTATATATAACCATGAACACCCAAAGAACCCTTTGCATGTTTAGAGGGTTCTTTGCATCATGAAAGGGTTCTCCAGATTGATGGAGAATGTGTTATAGATGGTTCTATAAAAAGGGTTTCTGCTGCTGTTACAATTGTTAGATGTCGTTTAACAATACAAGAACCCTTTTTGGTGCTACACAGAACCCTTTTCAAAAAGGTTCTATATAGAACCATATGCAGCCTTTTTGAAAAGCGCTCAATTATTACAAGCTTGGTATCGTAACAACACCAGAACCCCTTTTTATAGAACCATCTATAACACATTCGCCATCAACCTGACAGAACAATTTCATGATGCAAAGAACCCTTTAAACATGCAAAGAGCACTTTGAGTGTTCATGGTTCTGTACAGAACCATTTTCTTCACTAGAGAACCCTTGAAGAACCATCTTTTTTTAAAGAGTGTAATACCTACTTTAGACAGCAGCCATGAACTGTGGAATCTGTGTTTTTATTCAGTTTTTCAGTCATTCAGTTCTGCTCAACACAGAGGTGATGAGGCAAAATGTAATATCACGATACTTCAGTAAGTTTTTAACAAAACATAAACACCATGATATTTTTTTTTTTTGATGCCTAATAAGTTGGAATGAATCGAATTACCCTTTGTAAATAAACATGCAGTATGGAAGTGATTGTTTTAGAACTGCTGATATCTACAATATGCTGAGAAAAGCATGTTGTGACATAATTTATCATAATAATGATAAATATGGTCATAGGCTTCACATAACCAGGTTGAAGTGGCACAAATCCGATTTTCTGCCCTAATGTGACTCGGATCTGATGTTTTCAGGGCTGTGTGGACACACAAATCCGACCTGAACCACTTTCATATGTGGTTGTAGATTGAATACGTATCTGATTTGTGGCCATGTGACCCTAATGTGACGCTCAGATTGGAATGAATTCATTTCCATTTTTCCACTGCGCGTGCGCCATCATTCAGCATTACCATGGCAGCAGCGCTGAACAGTACTTAGAGCCTGTAAAAGGTGGAAAAGCAACACATCTCACCTTTTTCACCTTCGTCTCGCTCTAATAACGAACAGCTGATCAGAGTTAATTATCTTCTCAGCGAAGCTCGTTCTGCTCTTTAGTTTGTGCTGATGATGCACGTGATTCATTCACGTGATGTCACTGAGTAGGATGTGCGCATGCGGGTCATTTCAGGATGCCGGTTCGTTCACTTTAATGACAGATTTGAATGACTTACCTAAACGGGTGTGAACCATCGCGTCAGAGAGATCGGAATTGAGCAAAAAAATCAGATTTCAGCAATGAGGCTTGAATGTAGAACGTAGCCAAATTGCCCAGCCCGAGCTTAACGGCTATTTTCTAAATGCAGCACTGCTTCTGGGACTCACTGAACACTCTGACCTGATATGGAAATGAAAAGCAATATGTTTTGTTATGCTTACGCCACACAGAGATGAGGCATGGTTTGGGAATGGCGCTGAAGAAGCAGTGGCTGTTACCCATTAATAACATACGAAGCCGAGCCGCCTCAAGGTTCCTCCAAAGCACAGGCCTGTATGCAAGTGCGTACCCTGCATACTTAGACGCTCCGCTGTAGTCTGTCACTATTAAGTAAACACTTAGAGAAACAATACATATTTTGTCATGTCATGTAGAAAAAAGTTCATCATAAAC